TCTGGTTCTGGAGGGGTAGTAGCATTGTAATCCATGTAGATCCTGAAATATACAAAATACTCTCATCACACTTTGTGCATTGTCCTATGGGAAGTATATGCGTCATAACATATTAATAAACCATCTACTAACAAGATCAACTCATAAAAAAGTGAAATTTCAATTACTTAAATTGCAATCAATTACTTTGGTTTCTGACCATTCTTAAAATAAGAAAAATATTTAAAGAAAATACACAAATTTTCTAAAACCTACCTATAACCTCAGTAACTATGATAAAACAATATTAATTCAGCAGTCCTAAGTTACAGCATCACAGCTGCTGTACAAGTAACTTGATATATATCAACATTATTTTCTTACCTGTCTAGATTCATCTCAGAAAAGTGATGAAAATTATGTTCACCGAAGGTCGGACCCTGTACCAGCGGGACATCATCAAGCTTTTTGGCCATATTACCCTTGGAGAGGAAAGGACATTTATTTCATTTATCTGGATGTCTGAATAGATAAATTAGATTATAACTAGATTATAACTGTCTGCAAATAAGATGACATTCACTGACGGCAGATGCTGATACTTTGTGTGTGTGTCATTTTATTTACTTTATTCTGATATCCGGGATCCAGTTTCTTGTTCAGTCACACATCAAAATGTGACTGAATGAGTTTAGACCCTTACCCTGAATCCGCCCACCAAAAGTGTAAAAATTGCAGTCACTACAAAATATTTTGGTGGTGATTAGCATTAGTCTATAAAACTGGATTATAAATAAATACTAAAGTATTTATCTATTTCAGTAAGTTGTTTTAATTATACAAAGATTTACACATTATTGTTATTTTGCATAAAATACAAGATTTTGTTCCTCTGGCTGCGATCTGTAATCTGTAGAGACAGACTGACAGGATATGGAAAACAGAGACGTGTTGTTGAATATGCAACTTTTGTTTATTTCACAGTTCATCTGCTTCTTTGCTTTTTAATGGATTTAAATGGATTTCTCATCAAAGAGATGCTGTTTATTTCTAAAGTGACAGCTGCACATTAAAAAGGAAACTGAAACGTAGTTATTGGATATTCTCTGTGATAAACAGCTTAAATGACTGCCTACCTTGTGTCCCATTCGCTGCATTTCCAGCAGTGTAAAACTTATCTAAAACCTTTTCATGGATTTTCTGCATCACAAACTGAATGCTTGCCAATTCTAGTGACTGTGCCACGCACACGGTTTGGATTGCTTCATCACGCAGTGTTAGTCACGTACAGCTTCACAAATTTATGAAATGCGCACTTATTAGCAGACCCTCTATAGTGCTATAAGTTCAGTGAACACACAGTCTTAAAAAAGATTTTTTTAATGGTCATAGTTGTCCAGTGTCTTGTCAGTAGTCAGCAAACGTAACATCCAGCTGATAGCGCCCTGTTCACAACACTGTTCTAGTCAACCAGCACACAGAAAACGTATTAAAAGAACCACAGATATCTTTAGGGACACTGTCAGTCAGCTCGAGCTCTTCATTATCCAGCTAGCGCTATAGCGCTAACTTTCTGTGACAGCTCTCACTTTAGCCTGCAGCTAGCTAATTTTTAGCTAACTTAGTTTCGCTATAACATCGTATTTAACTGTGATTCCGCCTTTAACCTTAAATTGATAAAGGAACTGAATCCTCCAGGGACAGCCAAAGCTTTGTATCTGACCTTGTAAGCTGATGTGAAGATTTCCTAAATGGATTTACAACTATACGGGTCAATCATCAGCCAGCTAGCATGTTTCTGTCACGTCCCAGACGGGGTTGCCAGATTTGTTAAAGGAAACCCCACAGTTTAATATCTCGAAGAAAACGCACAAGAAATATTAATTTATTATGTAGAAGAATTGAGTGTTACTGTCATGTTCTTCAGTATTTTATTCTTTATTTTGTAAATATAATTAATTACTAAAAAGCAAAAATTATTTGGAGATTTGTCACCTCACAACTTGGGGAAGACTCAGAATGGTTAGTTTTATTTTCGTTTGAAGTCCGGCAGGTACCATGTTGAAAAAATAATTTTTTTTAAAAAACATCAACTTAAATCTAGTAGATGAAGACTTATATTAACAGTGAGTAAGTAAAATAAGAAGAGAATTATTTTAGAAACAGCTCTTAAAAAACGTTGACACACAGACATGGCAACACTGGCGTCTGCTGCTTAGCAACAGCCAGGGAGCTGAAAGTGCCAGGAGTATTTTATTTCTCTGATCGTAGTTGTTCTGCGATTAATTCATTCTTAATAGTAAAAAAAAAAAGTCAGAATTCTGACGAAAATAAAACTAACCATTCTGAGTCTTCCCCAAGTTGTGAGGTGACAAATCTCCGAATAATTTTTGCTTTTTAGTCAGAATTCTGACTTTTTTTTAAATCAAAATTGAGGAAAAGAAGAAGAAAAAAAGACGTGCCCACTTCCCCCCCCCCCAACGGCCCTAATCCTCTTCCGTATGAAGCTGCTGAAATGTTTTAACCCACATTTTATGTTCAAAGATTTTCAGTCATATAGAAGTGTGTGAAAAACCGCCTTGGCTACTTAACCTGTGAACTCAGTGAATGCTTTCCTGTTGACTTTATGGGCTCACAGCTCACAAACTGCAGGCCTCAATTTTTTTCCAGTGTAATGCATCACGAAAAGTATGTGTGATTTGTACTCTGCTGAGTACTATTAAAACATACAACACCAACATACAGTTCTCACCTTCATAATTCTAACACTAATACAGCTGGCTTGGGCATAGAGTCACTTCAAGATAAGGACTGACATGTGACACATTTCTATGCTGAGCATAGTTACCTGTTAAATAGCTGATAAGCCAAGCAATGCAGAAGGAGGAACAGTTAGCTGTAACTGATGTCATGACAGACTAAAGTGATGCATCTATGTCTTAGTTGCAAAGTCTGCCAGATGGACTTTGATGGCAGAGCTCTTTGGGTACGTTAAAGTCTGATTTGGGGTTTTTGAGTTTGGGTCTTCCAGATAAACATTATCAACATCGTAACAATATCTGTGATTGCCCAACTGACAAGCCAAAATCAAAAGTTGTATTGTCTTTAACAAAAAAAGAGAGAAGTCATTTTTGTGTTGCATATTTTCCATGTTTATTTCATATATGACAATGTGTTTAGTGTACACAAACAGCTGACGCTAAAACTCCAACACTCAGAGACATCGACTGAACTACGGCCCATTTGTAAATGGGTGCAACTTTATAATACAGTGTTCACAGCAATCATGTTTATATACAATGCAAAAAAATATCTGAAGAGAAAGAAAAGTAATGGTGTGAAAAAGATATGGAAGCACAAAAATGGAAATGATGTTCCTTGAAAAGGGGAGGGTTTAGAAAAAGTAGATTAAGTGAAGGCTGCCAAGAGCATGACGGTGATACTGAAAACTCGACAGTAAGGTAACCTACAGCATTACTCTGTACATGATGCCCAGCTGGGACACAGTGAACCACCACCCTCCCATACATTAGTGGACAGACTGTTTCAGCTATGTCCCACAGCCTCCAAAAGGTTCCCTGATATTGACCTACGTACAATCAATAAGGAACCGGAATGTGAAGACAATTCAAAACGATTATTTCAGCAGAGTAAGTATTTTCAAAGATCAGTTTACATTCAGTGTTACATTTTTGTGACTGCAACAACAAAACTTTGGTTGGCTCAAATGTGATGTACATTAAAAGGCCCAATAAAAACATGAGGAAAAAAGTCACCATGGAGACCAGACTGGAGCAAACCCGGGGACACGCATTCTTTTTTCTGACCACGTTGAATTTTAGGAAATGAGATGCGACAAAAACATGTTTGAGATATGGTGGCCTGAAGTACACTTTAATCTGTTTGTTACAAAAAAATATTCTGGTTGTTTGATTTGTCTCAACTGTCAATGAACTGATGATTTCCATAGCACACAGAATACTTTAAAACCTCTGGAAAGATACTTCTTATTAGACGTTAATGAAGGTATTACATCAGCAGCCAAACTTAGAACATACTGAACTGGAGCTATGTTTAATTTTACTCTCACTTACACTCAAATGACACGTCATGCTCTCACTGAGCATGCTCTCTAGGCTGGATGACCTGAGGCACGCTCATCAGTCCAACTTCTCACAACAGCTCACACGCTTTATCTTTTGAGGGTTTTTAAACGAGAGGCATGGTTGCATTTTCATCAAAAATTTGCCAACAGGACTAAAACTGTGTAAAAGGAGCCCCGACTATTTAACTTGTGGGCCTTAATATGCTTTAAATAGCCAACATTCAACAAAACTGTTGCAAGTACTATTAGTATGCAATGAATTCTGGGTCAGTGACATAAACTAAATGCTCTTTTTAACAACCTGCAGTATACAAACCATAAACAGTATCCCTGCTACTTTTGATTGTAATTTCCAGCAGTAAGGAAACAAGAGACATGATCATTAATCTCCTGCTGCTGAGAAAAGGAGAAAGAACCTGTGGCTGCATTCTCAGCACTAATGCATTTAATGCATTTAGTCACTAAAAAAGCTGACAAATACTGCTGGAAATGATCATTGAAACTAAATGCTGTTCCAGCAATCTTTTTATAGGCGTCCAAATGTTTTTGGGTAGTGATTCAAAATAGCTTGAAGAAACCTGAAAAATGGGAAACAATAGCTGCTGCTGACAGTAAACCCTCTGCTCTGAAAGCAAACCAAAGATCACGACTCTGTTTACAGAAAAGGTGAAAATCTGACCATTCGATCAGCTCAGCAGTTTGTACGTGTTCAGTGTTTCTAACCAAGGTAGCATTCGAGTTCAAATCTTTATTACTAACACATCTACAGTGGATTTATTGGCATCCCTTTTAAGTTTTAAGTGATTTTAATGTTAATATAATAAACTATACATGTGGTCATAGTCAGGGTTCCTTTTAATATGGCCATTTGTATGAGTGAAAATCCTGAAATATGTTTCTCTGAGTATGCTTTGTGTTATGGAAATTCCACACTTTATGATATCATAAATGAAACCTTCTGCTTGGACTTGAAATGACGATGATGATGATGGAAGGCAGGAAAGTGATGATATGACCTGCAGACACTCCCAGAACAGTATTTTAGCAGCATGAAGGATGTAGTTTCAAAGCAACCGGTGCAGAGGCATACTGTAGTGTGCAGTATGCCTGAAAAGAGAGGCACTACATTCAATCAATATACATATCATTCAGGAAAAAAACAGCTTCATATTCTGTACTGTGAAGAAGATTTCATCTTTTTCTTTTGATTGAATAAGGTAGCTTTGTGCAGCAGAGGATGAACTGGCCACCTACTTATATCATCTACCTAATTACTGGGCATTTTAAATGCATGTTAGCTGGGTCTAAAGTGTGACTATGCTAATCGCGTATCAGATTGCATTTATTCAAGTAATTTTCAGCATAAAGAAGCTGTGAGTTATTAAATTGTTTCAGTAATATTCATTACGAGGGGAAAAGGTTGTATCATTTAAACATTTAAAGAACTCATTAAAAAGTGCAGTGTGCAGAAATTGCACTGTACTACTACTTTAGAAATATAAATGCTTTTTTTTTTAAATAAATACACGCAGAAATAAATAATAAAACTGTTAAATATCTAAATATATCACATTTTAAAACAAATAAAATACAGGTAGAGATTAAAATGGGAGAATTAATGTCATGACATCTGATTACTTCTTGTGGGAATGCAGGTAACCTCAGTGCTCCTACGAGTGGCTAAAAACAACATGAATTTACTACAGCGACATAAAGTTTATGATGAGATGCCATTCCCGTGCCAGGCTGTGTGTGCTAAGGTTTCTAGAAGTTTTAGGAAGAGGAAGCAACTTACTGGATATCAGGATTTATGGACCAGAAAGAAGAGAGAAATATTCCTAAGAGAGAGACACGTGACTGTCCCTTCGTATTTTTTAGCTGTATGTTGTATGCAAATCAGTTTAGACCCTTATATATAGCTGTAGAAGAGTTTTTCTATTTACTGATGCAAATGTAGCAATGTGATCCTTGCAGCTTTAGGAAAACATGCCTGTCACTGCTTTTTTTTTTTTTTTTTTTTAAGAACTGATGTATAAGGCTTGATGTGTCACCGACAACAACTACAGTACATTACCATACGCATGTAATCTGAGATAAGAAACTGTTGCTACTCCCTCCATTTTCTTCTCTCGTCCAGTTATGAACAAACTCCAGTACAGTACAGTGACAGGTTTTTGAAGAGGTTCTTCAGACTAAGAGACTCACATTGCAGAATAGGCCTGACAGGAAATGGGTGCTTTAGGTGCTGAGGACACTAGTGATAAACAGAGAACGTACGGGGGAGAGAGATGGTTGTTGGTGACTGTAGCGGTGGAGACGGGGCTCAGCAGGAGAAACGGGATAGAGACAAGGATCTATGTACATCATAGTCTTTGAGTTGCTCTCATGACATTTTTTAAAATGTCTTGTTTCACATCCTCATCTGTCCGGCTCGTCTTCTTGACAACTTTGACCTGAGAGATAGATGAGAAAATGTCCATTAAAAATAGATTTTGTTTGCAGTTAGAATTTTTTTCCCACCTGGAGATTTTTTTTTAACTTACCTGATAGTTCCAGCAAGGAGCGGGTTAAAAGCATACAGCCAGTCATGCATGTCTTTGTCATTTGTGGCTTGAAGCAATATTCCACGATGTTCTGTGCACACAGCAAATGTGTTTGGGGTCTGTGGAAAGAGCCACGAAAGCTTAATGCAGCAAGCTTAATGCAACGTTTTGAATGATTCTCACTCAACTTTCTACTTTCTACTCTACCTGCTTCCTTAACTTGCTATTTTTATTAAATTGAAAGTGCGCACCTTAACTTTCACTTACTGTGCGATGTGTGTAACTTAAACCTGTTGGGTTGATCTGACTTAAAGTGAAGTTCATTAAAAAAATAACTTAATAAAACTGTTGATGGAGGAGTCTGGTTCACCAACCTTTAACATTGCCTGCTGGTCCTCGCTGTACTCCACCTGGGCAGAGGAGAGGTTGAGAATAGCTCGCTCCACTGCGTCTCTTTCCGTGTTGTAGATGTAGACGTACGGCCGCCGCACGACAACATAGCGCTTCACCCATCCGTTGGTGAGCGGCTCCAGGAAATGCAAGTAACCCTTCTTCGACACGATGGGACTGAAAGATAAAGATGATATAATAGCATGTTTGGGTCTGAAGTAAAGCTCAAATAATAAAATGTTCTGAAATGACTTCTTCCTCCTCACCTGACTCGAATCTCCTGGATATCTGGGACAAACTTCTGGGTCTGAGGTTTAGTTTCAGAGGCTCCGTTGATGGACTTCTTGGCCTCTGCGTCCTGCTGTGCATCAGGACCGGAGCTAACCACACGAGAGCGAGGGACAGGGGGTCTGCAGTAAAAATAGAGAATATCTGAGCTCTAGCAACAAAGGAGCTCTCTGTGCCTTACAAGACCCAAATACTGTTAATACCAGAGAATTTCAAAATATTAGACCTATTTGCTGATTCTGTTCCAGATGATAAGCACATGAAACATGTCAGACACCTTAAAAGAGAAAGAGTTCAACTCTGTCAGCTCTATATCTCTGTCTTATTACATGCGGGTCTGGTATAAAAGCGGAAACCTTAAGGTCAAGAGTTTCTGGAACTACGACTTTATTTATTCATTTTAAATATTTTTTTTTGTTTTTTCAGCAGGAGATGTTAATACTTATTTTAGATGTCTTTGAGGAACATCTTGAGAGCACCCTGGAAGTGAACTGCAGCCAATGTCAACACTCTGCTCTGCAGACCGGCTCTGATAATTACTAACAACAGCCATGTCAATCTGAGCACTGACCTGAGTCCAGCATTGCTGTAGCAGCCCTCAACAAGTGAAGGGCATGTAGAGGAGGGGGTGATTGTGTTAAGAGCAGAGATTGAAGTGGACTCTCTTAACGTTGTGATGGACATCTCAGAGATCTGTAATGAACACAGTCACACGGATCCACAGCGGAGCAAATGTGAGGACTCAGTCGACCAAAACAGAAATCTGATTTTCTGTGTGTGTGTGTGTTTAAACCCCTAAAGCCTGACCTTGCTTTCACTGGCGCTCACACACACATGGCTGTATTCTCTGTTGAAGGAGTGAGTGAGCAGCCGCAAACACTGTACGGAAAAAGGAGAGAGAGCTTAAAATGTCGGGTTATATAACAAAATCACGTGTGACATGATAAGCACTACATTTCTGCTTGACAGGAACGTTTATATGAACAGAACCCATTACAATAAAGTCAAACCTGAAATAAATTATCGACAGGGTAAAGACGGCTGACCTTAGCAGCGAGCTCCCTCTGCCTCTCAGTGGTGATTTCGTTGCAGCTGACCTCGGGGTCCATCTCAGTGGGCTGAGGAGACTCATTCAGCTCATCGGTGACACAGGATTGAAGGGTCTCCTGGCCCATGAGCAGCGTGGACTCTAGTTTCTCCCTCAGAAGGAGGTAATGTTTGGTTTTTTCCACCTAGCAGAAAAACATCAGTCACTAACAGCAAACAATGCCCCCTGCCTGAAGAGGAAATTAGGAAGGAAAGCTGTTTATTTGATAAATTCCAGTCTGGTTTCCATCAGAAGCACGGAGCAGAGCCGGCTCTCTGTGGCACTTCTAATATCATACATTAGAAAACTGAATGGGGCAATATAAACCCTAGGACTCGGCTGGCTTTATTCATATTTTTCTGATGGCAAATTCTTCTTATCCATTGATTAGAAAGCTGGGGTGCTGCTCACAAGTGGAAGCAGAAGAATGACAAATGTATTGGTGAATAATCTGGAGTGAGGTAAGAGTGGCAATGGTCCATTTTACTAAGGGCAAATCTAAGCACGGAGTCGGAACTGTCAGTTTATTGGATGATTCCCATTTTCACACATGGCCATGAAAGTGGTGGAAATGAGCTTCCTCTGGGTGAAAGTGGGTGAAAGGAGCCAGACGAGGTAGTTCTTTGAGGGTCTTCCGGCGTGTCTAACCAGGAGGAGACCCAGGAGATAAGGGAGACGTTATGTCTCTCACTTGCCCTAGGAAAACCTCAATATCCCCTCACTGACACGTAACCAGCATTAATTAGTGACAGCATTTTTTGTCAAGGAAAATGTACAATTTGAATGACATTCATCTCAGTTACTCTTTGAAGGCTCAATTAAGCAACAACTTGTCTCTCTAAACTTGTCTCTGGCAGTGGATGAACTGCAAAGCTGCACCAAAGCCCAGTATAAAATTCACGAGGCATAACTCAACCGGAGCGAAAGAACAGAGACAGTAAAAATTAAACAAATCTTACATCTTGGAGGAGGCTGAGTTTCTCCAGCTCCCACTGGTGGTCCAGAATGAGGCTGTCACTACGTGGCCTCCATCCAGCCAGGTTCTCTTCCCCACGGACGTAGGCCACGGAGGTGTCCAGCACCCGCCTGCGTCTCCTTTGCATTCCTGGTGAGAGGATGGGTGCAATGTTAGAAGTTCAGGACGACTGAGCTAAATGCAAAACTGTACCATTTTTTTTCCTTGCCTCTTACCAGGGCTTCCTGCATCTGCCTGGTGACACAGGCTGACCTCATAAACTCCAGTTACACGGTTTCTAAAAAAAACAGGAGTGAGAGGGCATTTAACATTTTTTTAGAACATCATCAGAGAGAACAAATTAGCTAAATGATGATTTTAAAGATTAAGATGCCTCACCCATCTGCAGCTCTTAGGCTACCAGTACCGAAAAGGTTACGGATTGATCGGGAAGCTGAGAGCTTTGTGTCCCTAGAGTAAAACACCATGCAGATATCTTTGGTAATAACTGCAGGCTGCGTGCAGTTCTCCATCTGCAATTCATAAAACAGGAGACATTTCCAACATTGTTCCTCTAGAGTAACTCACACGTCACCTCTGATCCTGTAAGAGCTATTTCTCCTTCTTATGAATGCAGGCAGTGTACAGTACCTCCAAGTAGGCTGAGAGGGTCATATAGATCTTCTCCCCGTATGGAGTGACTCGGTTTAGGAGCAGGGAGTTGTGCATTGAGCTATCCCAAGCAGCCTCAAACCGGAAGAAAGTTCTGAGGTGGTCCATTGAGACAAGAAGCCAAGAAACTGAATCAGCAGTTGAAACTCAAGTTCCTCTACTAAAACAACAGATTAGCTGCCAGAGCTTAACCCATGCTAAAGTTTACTCTGCAGATGTAAACATAAAAAACTGGATAAATCCCAAAAATGTCCAATAATAAACAATTTAAGCAGAAAAATGTGCCCTAATATCATGATTTATAAACAGAAGCAAATCAATTTACTGATCCACTTGTGCAATATATAAACATTTTAGTAAATATTTCTCTAGTTTTCAATAAAACAAAAGCTCTTATATGATCATTTTGCATGCAACAAACAGACTGAGTTATGTTTGCTTTGTATAAAACATCACAGAAAAGCAAAGAGAGCAGAGATGAATATTGGTACAGAAAGAAAGGCAATGGAGGGATGAGGCACGAGCAGGTAAACATGAGGGACAGGGCAGTGAAATACCTATGGTCAACTCCCAGGGAAATGCTGTGAGAAAGAGGAAATCAGCAAAAGAATAGACAGTGAGAGTCAGGAAGTATGTTGTGCTTGTGTGCTTGTGTGGCTGGGATGCCGTTTGCCTTTTTTTCACACTGATAACTCATCAAAGCTCATCAGATAGAGCGAGGAGGTTCTGTGAGGACGGCTGATTTACTGTACGTTAGAGAAGGTCAAATAACAGCACGGGACCATTCTTCAAGCACAACAATGCTGCTTTCTATTCCTCCGATGATTTACTCCATACACTAATGTACACAATTTTCCTCGTGTCCCTCGAGGGGAAATACTCACACACTGAAGTCACTTATTATTCTGGCCTGTAGCCCGGTGCTGCCTTAAATCTAAAAAAGATAATCCAAGCAAGAACTGTAAAAGGAAACTAATGTTTCTGTAAGCCATGAAAAGAGGCCGTACGGACTCTTCATGAGGTTCAGATGTTGGGCCCACTGGCCTTGGACTGAGGTGACCTTGTGGGAAAGTGAACAGAGTGTCACTAAGAAGAAAGCAAACATCTATGCGCAGAGCTCGCGTGAATAAAGGAGAGGTGCCTTTTCTGTTGCCAGCAATTAGCAAGTTCATACAAATTCACACCTTCACACATGCACACTTTTTTTCCCAGTAGTAGAAACCTGTTCGCTTACACTACAATGAAGCAATTTCCTCCCTGCACCCCTCTAACATGTGCTTCTCTGCACTTTACTGCCTCCTAAAAAAGTGGGAGCCAGCACTGAAGTCATGCTCCTGGCATAACATGTGAGGAACCATTTGTTTCTGGTGTTTGGCAGAGTTCCGCTGAGGTACGAGTAGGATTTAAAAATATTCACAACATTGCAGCAATTTTGTGTAAAGTGCTACTGGTGAGGTAATGGTTCACTGGAATACATTTTAATAGCTGCACTGGAGTATCGTGCCAGAGCGTGTACTGTAAATGATGTGATCCATATTGCAGCACTTGAGAAATAGCGAGCGAACAGTGTTCCTGTTAATATTCTGTAGCTTTGATGGGAAACACTCTGACTCTTGGGATTAGAGGTGACTAACAAAATCATATCCATGGATTCAAAATATTCCTTCACTGTAAAGGCCAAAAAAATGAACATAAGAAACAGTGTTGAGAGACAAAAGCAGAAAATAACCTCTTTTTAGCCTCTTTTAAATATCAGTTTGCCTTTGTAGAATTAGGCTATGTTTCTGTGATGGATTCCTACCACCCTCTACTGGTAACCAGTACAAATGCACCTTCTTCACAGTTTTACTTTACTGCCTTCTCAATGTAATCTGCAAATAAAGGAGCATTTGTAAACAAACAGGCTAAAGACAGAGTAAACATTCGTGTTCTAAAATCTGCCTCATCAGCTGAAGTGGAAACCGAGAGTTTGATACTGGCCCCACGACACCTCCAGCAGAGACACAGCCAAGGACAGTCCACGCGAAACAAAGCAGAGCCATGCAGATCCCGTCCGTCATCGGCCTGACAGAAGCTCAAACACACATCCAACACAGCCAGAGAAGCAAAGAGGCACAATTGAAATGCTGACAGCAATGACAGAGTCAGAGAGAAGGTAACAAAATCACGAAAGAGATGACAGGGTATGGAGGACGTTAGAAAGATGAGGCGTTCGTGTAACTTAAGAGCATGAAAACAGAGGCAAATAATATACCTAGGCATGTCCGAATCAAGAAACTGTCTGCAAAAGCAAAAAACAACATTCCGTTAGTGGACTGGAGGGAGAAAAATGTTAGCATCATATACTGTGATGTTAGTTTCTGACCACACTGGACCGCAGCTTGATCTGGCGCTTAGCCATTAAGCTTAAGTTTTGGCTACTGAGCCCATAACACGACAAACAATTAGGGTTAAAGAAAGGCTGATCCAGCAGAGGTTAGAGGTTAGTACAGTATGGAGCTCTCGGTTGCTTTACATTAAAACGCAGTAAACCCAAATCTGGACGATGCTGCTGCTGATGTTGTTAGATTTCTTGGCGATACGGGAAGCAAGAGAGATTAAGCAATGAGGAAAAAAAGCAGGGTCAGGATGCGCTATAATTTTCAGGACTTTTTATGTGAATAATTACAATATTATCATTCATATTTCTTATATTGTAAATATACTCATGGAGGTCTACTACTACATAAGAGTTACTACCATAAGATTTATACAAGGACGAGAGTTAAGTAATTTTAGATATTAATAAAGAAGCAAAAAAAGAGTTAATAACATCTTTTATGGCAGCAATTACTTGATTTATTAACCGAATGGTCCATCTACAAATCAATTGCTGTTTAATCCTAAATTCTCATCAGCTGTAAAAAAGAAACCTACTGCCCTCTACTGGTGGGATGCTAACATTAAGCTGTGCAAACTGGGCTTTTTACATTTCTCTGTTTTGCACTTCCTCGACTCCTCTCTCCTCCATCCTTCTGCCAGACACTCCACATTAAATCAATCCTGAAGGATGTCTCAATTTATAAAACACACAGAGGAGAGGAAGGAGGAGGAAGCACATACATTTATGTAATTTATGGAAGTCTTTTGAGCTTGAAAGGTATGTAAAAACCATAACAGGAGAAGTAATTACTCTTTTGTATTCATTTTTTCTTTCTGCCTGTCTCCATTAGTGTGGAGAGGATTATCAAAAAAAATGCATGATATCTCTACACTCTTCTCACAATGTGTACCGCTATCAAATAATACCAGTGGCAGCTGTAACAAAGCAATGGCCAGATACTGCTTCTGCACTACACTTTGAATTAAAATCACTTTAAAATGATGTCTCTGCAGCCTCTCATTCTGTTAAATGTTGGCTCAACTCCTCTCTTACCTCCTTGGTTTGCATTGTGATAAAATGCAAGAAAAGGAGGCAAGGAAATGATGCATAAAATGAGTGTCTGTACAAAAAGTTGCATGTATAAAAGTCAGAACATATTTTTCTGTTATACATTCACCACAGCTCATTCTAACCTCTTTCCTGTGAACTTTGTGTTAGTTATGCTATTACTCATTAAGGGAACAATACACCTTCTCTGTTCTTCTGTTTTTCTTTATAAACTAGGCTCCAGTTGTACATCACACCCAGAAACATCATTTCCAGGGTCATTAGAAAAGTGAAGGTCAATCAGGTGATTTAATAAAATGATGAAATGCTGCATGTCAAATGAATGACTCTGCACTGAGTAGAAAACAACAACAAAATAGTGTGTTAGTGATTTTATATTTAAGTAAAGAAATGCATGGCAGTGGAAAAGTTAGAAGGGCATGCATTTCTATTTTATACTGATCTGTTTACACAGAGTAAAATTAAGGTGCACGGTTAATAAAAAACACTTTTTAAACCTACACTGGGGTCAGTGATGAGAGGATTTAAATGAGAGGTGATGAACACAGTGAGATGCAACATGTAGGTGCAATGAGACAACCAACAGCAGCATATATTAACACCAAGGAGGGTCGCGCAGCCAGCATGGACGAGTGACTTCAGAGCTACTGGTGTGGTAAGTGTAGCTTTAAAGAGATTCTTAAATAACTCAAAGAAAGTGACTCTGGATCTGACCTGCTGTTGTCAGAAAGAGGGATCTACAGCATATTCATGCAGTTACAGTGATAACGATAAGAACACAAAGGGAATTGGCAGAGTTTCCTTACATAACATTCAAGCTGTGACTCTGCTGCCATGCTTTTTACAACTTATATGCTTAGGGTGACCAGATCCCAGCAGATTAGATGTCATTAAAGATTTTGTGGGCTATAAATTATTTCATAAATCTCACTTGTAATTGAAGAACAAATATGGTTTACTTTTTACGAGCACAAATGGAAGCAAAGGCTTGTTTTAATGGTCTTTACATACTTGTTTATTTCATTTGTCTTTTCCAGAAAGCATTAAAACTGTTAGCTTCTGTTTCAGTTGCTATTCTGTTTCCAAATCATTTTTAGGTTTTATGGTAACTTCATAAATCCGCGCACTTATTTTCAAGCCACATATTTCCTGCAAGCATCTGTTGACTCTGGCAAACATGAGCTAATCAAAATGTGGGAGAACGGGTTAATAAAATGAAGTTTGAGGACACCTGGTCACCCCATATGTGCCATGCATTTGCCGTGTGTCGTGTTCCAGTGCAGGAGCTGCCGCAGCAGTAACGCGCACTCTCAGATAAGACTCACAAACATCAGAACCGTAAAGTGGTTTCCAAATTCAGCTGAGCTGCCACATAATTCAAAAAGCTATGGGAACACAGTAGTTTGCTATTTAGATGAAAAATATTTGCTTCAAACATTAAGCATAGTACATACCTGTCATCGTGCAGGGGCCTGACATACCCAACAGATAAAATGTTGAGAGATAGAATATTAGGATCAATGATGGTCTCATCAGATTCGGGCGTGTTGCGCAGACGTCCTGGGAAAGCAGAAATGCCTCAGTGAGAACAGCTCATACAGACTATTGGTAAAATGTATTCAGCTTTAGAGAAGCTGAACATCAGTCTTACCCACAACAAGCTCACGGACTTCCTTCCATTCTATGTCATTTCCAGATTCATGTACAATAGTAACGGTGATTCTCCTCTGGAGGCCCTGAAGAAGGAACAAAGATAGAGTGAGCACACAGAATATGCTTTTACGACATTTTTCAAAGGTTGCAGAGCGTGACACATCCACTGAACAGGCTGTCTACAATTACTAAGACCAAATTGGAGACGCTTTTGATGTGCGTCATTCTGGGTAGAATTGCATTTGCCCTCTCAGAGCAGAGCTATGAGAGGGCAAATGCGAATGTCTTCAGGCATAAAAGATCCTTTGATGACAGTTGATTTGACTGCAACATATTTGCTCCCAGCCTGACTAAGATACCTGGTGCAGAAGAAATGTGCCATGGCAGGGCATTCCTCCTCTGTGGTCCACTACTGCAGGGATGTAGCTGAATGACAGAAAAAAAGAGAGTCTCAGAGATTTCTGTGGCCCATCAAATTCTCCCAATTTTCTGCTGACTCGGGATACTCACTCCCCGTTCGCCTCCAGCTCGCAGATCTCGAAGAAAACCATGAGGTCATATTTACAGTGACAGGGTCCTGCCTGTGGACGGGTCATGGCCGTCAGTTTGGTGGCAGGTACTGCGTTGAAAAAGATTAGAAATAGGATTATACAAGAAGGCACAATAGGGGTAAACCTAGTGCAGGCTAGCAGCTAACAGCAGGGAGAACAGCTACCTACCCTACAAAGGAAAGAGAAACGGGAGAAGAAAGGAAATCAGTGATTCAGGGAAGGAGCACCCACTCAGTACTGTACAAGAAGCTTTTTTTCATTTAGCACATTTTTGACCGCTCTGTGTAAAGAAATAAAAGTCTGAACCATCCTTTAGGCGAGAGAATGCATATGTATGTCTTTATAAAGCACTTTAACGTTCAGGTGACCAAGTGGGGATATTTACAATGCCAGACATCTTAATCTCTATAAAAGCTTGGTCGCCTGATGGATAATAGTAACATTTTTGTACAGTAAGTCTATAATGTTAATAAGACTGACTAAGAGTTAAAGAAATCCTTTAATTTCCACTGGTGCCCAAAAGCAGTTCAGAGGTAAAGAAAAAAAAATCCATGCATCCCTTAAATTTGTCCCAAGCTGAAGCAGAAATCAATTTTATAAGAATAAATACAATATAATGTGATGCATTGTGGGAGTTACTATGTATTTATATATATTAAAGGTGCTTTAAGTGTCACTTTTAGAGATGCGATATAATTCTTAGCCAACGGAATAACTGAAATAACAATCTGGTGGATAACTAACGCTAATATTGTTCATCTGTTTGTTTTCTACCTCCTTGGATTGATTGCTTTCCTATTATAACATGTGAATTTATTCCCAGGGATTGATAAATCTCAGGTGTGTTATATATGCATATGCACCACAATGTACATTATAGTTAACATTCCCATCGGAGAGAGTTTCATTCGTGGCAGACTAATATAGAAGAAAGGCACTGTGATCCAATCAAGAGGAGCTCAAAGAGGGAACTGCAAGGAGAACGCACCACATAACAGTGAACACACAGTACAAGAGAGCCAATCCAACTGCAGAATCCTGACACATGAAAACTCCCCTTTTATATCGATTAACTTGAGTTTTACTACACAGCAAGTAGCAACTAGTAACTGACACTGAATATTTGTGTTAGTGCTTTATCTACGAGGCGACTCAGTCACAAAACCTTAGAGCTGGAAGAGATACTTTTAGTGCTTTTAAAATGCACTTGGCTCATTTAAGTCACACCAAGAAAAACACTCGATATAAAAAAGGGTTTCCACTTGCAGGATTCTCTTGGATCTGACCAATCAGTGACCAACCCGGCTTCTGAGCTTTAATAACTGAACAGATAGAGATGGGTGGAGCTGGCAGCTGAGCTTGCTCGTTTCCTTCCAGCAGGAAGGAAGCAGCTAAGCCAGCGGCAGACAGAGCGTGGCCTGACAGCGAGTCCACCAGTGACCCATTGAACACATCTGGGACCAAGTATCGGATGAGCTCCAGCGATTTCTCCCGGTCCGACGAGGCGTCAGGATCCACTGCTCGCACCCAACAACATGAAGCTGAGATGATACGACTTGCAAGCAGACGAGTATCACAGCAATACAACAAAAATAAATGATAAGACACGAGCAGAGCATCTTATTTACCTGGTTTGGAGAGAGGCATCACTCGTGGAAACTGTCTCCTGCAGGGGCGTAGTGGACTGGGTGTCACAACACACGGTTACGTATGAATATAAAGAATTGCAAGCATATTCATCATAGTATGTGTATAAATGCAGTAAATGCTATAAGCAAACACAGTACCTCATGACATCTTTACAAAGAGGAAGAAAAGGCTGCTTCTGGTAGTGGCCAAAGACTTCAAACACAATTGGCTGAGTCTTGATGTAGTCCACGAATGATCTAGTAACCTCAACAGCAATCTACAAAAATAAAAAACAGTCCATTTTAGTGCCTAAACTCTTAAATACAGAACAATGCATAAAGCTGTGCAGGACACGAGCCGACTCTTCTTACGTTCTGCACATGGTAGAAGCCGAGAGGAGGGCCGCGGCCTGTGTTTTTTAGGGGTTCAGTGGAGAAGGCCTCATCATGGCGGTGGATGAAGCTAAAGACAAAGTAATCAATGCAAAGTTTGCATGTAAAACAGTAAAAAGAACACCAACGATCACAAATCTCCAGCGGAAATATTGTGAAGAGCAATTTACTTGAACTGGCAGAAGATGTCGGCATATTCCGCAGAGATGCTGGAGGCTTGCAGGACAGTCACTCTGAAGGTAAAAATATTACCGATCCTGAGATGTTCCAGAGTTGTATCGAGTGCTCCATCCAGACCAGCCTTCAGTGGATTCTCCACCTCATCTGATCCAGCTGCAAGGAACCACAAAAAAGAAAAAGGAAAAAAGAAAAATAAACGCAGGTTGGAAACTAGACTAGACATCCATGAAAGTTCTTTCCTAACCTAAATCTGGTTGGTGGGTGTGACCTTCATGTTTAATTTTTAAAGATTAAGCTTTGTTATTCGAGGATATTGGACAACCTAAAGGTTTCCCAGTAGCAAGGGTCTTGACTTTTCAGTGTTGATATTCTAGTTTTTTGATCTAAAGGCCATGAATAAATCATCAATCTACTTAGAGTGATCTATTTTATTGATCAAGAAATTCAGACACTGTTAATTCTACACTTTGACTTTGGTAAATACTGCATACATGTACGTGAGGTGAAAGACACTGCAAGATTGTATAACACTGTATGGATGTTATATAAATCCCTGCTGTTTAAAAAGGCCTCTCCTTTTACTCCTTTGTGTGTTTTTATTAGATTTAGTGGGTGTTTTTGCTTTTTTGATTGTTTTTTGCATCTTTTTTATTTGTAAAATGTCTGGCGCAGAATATTTTACAGCATCATTCTGACCATTAGATGATCTCATTAGTGTTAATAAAAAAAGAGCAAGAAGCATCTGGGTTCAAATCTCCTGGTTGTCTGAGGGGAGGTCGGTGAGGACTTCAACCACTTTTAGATTTCAACCACATTTAGTAGTAAATTTTCTTTAGGAGTAAAGAAATGTGTTTTCAATGACTTCAAAAGACAAGTTTTTCACATTTTTACTCATTAACAGATCTCAGTGATGTTTAGACACTTCTGTTTAATGTTTTTGTTGGGTAGGTTGCATTCCAGGTAGATGCTGAGCTGACTGTCAATAAATTCTACTGGAACAGACGAGGAATGGACTGGAGTTACCAAGAAATTGGAGACAAGCATTTGGGCTAATTTATACGTCTTCCACATGAGCCACCGTTTGCCATTGTCTGCCCTCCAAATCCAAGCCTATCTAACATAATTTCTTTTAAAGTCTTTCCTGTGAATTTTCAGTCTGCTGAGCCAAAAAGGAGACCATACACACACATACAGACACAAGCAAACACGCAGAACATGTGCCCATTCACTCGTAAAATACGATTACCCGCACATGTGTTGTTGTTGACTTCATCAGCTGACGGCCCCATTTCTGCATTCTGCCCTTCTCCCTCCACGATCCGAAGCTCCTCCTGAGAAATCCCAGTGCGGGACAGTCCTACAGAGCAGGACTCTGACTGGAACTACAGGAGCACAGCAGAGTGGTGAACAGTCCTCAGATTTTTAAACAGTTACATCATTTACTCATTTAGTTGTCTACCAAAACATTTTTCACTTATTGTATATGATAACGAGGGCTTTATTTTGCATTTCCCTCTTCATTTGAGCGCCACTATTGCATTCATTGTAGAGAAATAACACATTTCTAAATATAGTCACATATTTCAGATGTAGTTGGAATTCTCTCAAAGGCAATTTTAATGACGGGTATGGGTTATTTCTTGGTAATTTCTTCATAAAATAAGTGGATAAAAGGTCTGGAGATGATTCAGAGTTTGGCCCTTGTACTTGGAGGCTGTTTCTATAAATACAGAAAATGCATCAAAGGAAACTTAAATGGTAAAAGAAGTTCTTCTAAAATTGAAAAAAAAATACAAAATACATCTATCAGTTGGAGAGAAGGCAGGAATATTAGCAAAAGTAACAGTTTGGTGCTATCTGAGTGAAGTAAACGTCTACACTGGTGACACAGCGCTGTATGATGGCAGGATCCTTTCTTTACATTCGAGATAAGTGATTGGTCAAAGCCACTGACCAGCATGTTTGTATGGCCAGAAAACCCTAAATCTATTGAGAGGGTACATCGAGTTCTACAAAAATGTTACAAATGTTAAGAAGCCTTAGAACAGCGTGTAATTCAACTCTTTTTGTAAACACCTAAAATCACAAAAATTGTGACGGCAACTGTATACAGAAGTAAATCCTACACTGTGAAAACTAACTGTAATAACTATAGTGTGTTTTTCACTACCTTTTCATACTGCTGATCCTCAAAGGAGATTTTGGCAGTGCCCGACTGCCTCACTCCGGAGCCGTAGTCGGGAGCCTCCTCATCAGCTGGAGGGAAACACAAAGAACCTTCACCTCACTCCCTCCAGAAATCACACACAGCTTGCCCCGTCAATCGCTTCAACGATCGTGAGTCTGAGGATTTGAGCCTTACCTGATATGGCCTGTACTGCCACCCTAAGGAAGCCCTTTACCTCTCCCTTCTCACTGACAATGGCCACGCGATGGACGAGCGGAACCGGGTACAGCAGATTACTCAGATAAACAAAAGCCCTGCATGGGAAGCCAAAGAGAAAATAAAAGGGGAAAAAAAGCATTAACAAGAACCAGACCAAGGAGACGTGCCACATTTGATAAAAATCACTGGACTGGACAACAGAACACAGAACTGCAAAGCAACCAAACAGAAGCTGGGACTGCTCTTGCGACGGCCATGGCTGCCCTTTACTATTGCTTTGGAGTGGGCTTATCCTTATCATCCAATAATGACTATATAATCAGGTCAATAATGGGTCACATGCAATAACCCTAAACCTTTGAGTTGTACTGATGAAGGATAGTGAGGCTAAGGAGCATGTATGTAAGGCTAAACTTTCAATTCTTTTTATTAACTTCAAAAATTAGAACCCAGCTCAAGACTTTGCTGGATAGCAGATGTTTTCGTCGTAAGCAATGAATTCATTTTAATGCATTGCTTTATGATCACATGCTATCATGACAATGACTCTATATAATGTATAAAGCCAAACTGAGAACTTAAAGCACTTTGCTACAGACTATGTTTCTTTGAGAATAGAAATTTGGGAACAGCTGCATTAGAAATGCTTTTCTTAAAAATAATAGAATAACTGATCCACATTTTTCACAAGCCAATAGGGATAGACATTTAAGGGTGGACAGCGTAAAAAAGGACAGGCTTATGACAAGATTGGTGAGGTGCAAATAAGGCATGCTCAGGACAAAAAAGGTGAACAAAAATGCTTTCAACTTTTTGACTCAAAAGGAATCAAAAGCAAATGGAACAGAAATCATCATACGGAACATGGCTCAGCTTGAATCAAAACTGCCAACAGCTTCATAGACTGTATGCTACATCAAAAACCAACGAATGACATCAGAAATCAAAGTGCACCTCCTGGGCCGGAGTGGTAATTTCTACAAAATAGGGGTACGAGTTCATCATCAGACGTATTCACGTAAAAACCGACAAAAAAAAAAAAAAGGTCAAAATGAAAAGACTTGTGCTCTGGCATGCCTAAAAGAGACAGCTGCTGCAGAAACCAGCTCTTTCATCTTGAGATTTTGAGTCTTTGTTCGAACACCACTTAGCTCAAAAATTTTCAGATTCTTTCAACCGTATTCAGGTTTCACAGCACGGTGAGAACATTTCGCTGTTTGTTCCTCTTACTATGCACATCAGACCTCTATCTACTTCTTGAGCTGCATCAGTGCTTTGGGGAGTCAAAAGTCCTTTTTCTTTTTTATAAGCCACTATGATTTGACATACACCTCAAACAGCCGTGCAGCGTCAGCACTGCATAGAAACAAGAAGCATAAATGGACCCACTCTGGACTGAATTTAAGAAGAATTTAAGTAAGAGTGAGACGCATCGAGCCACTGTATACCCCCACTCCAAAAGCAAAGAAAAATAAGCATTTAGTTGAAAGAGAGATTAAAGATAAAAAGGAAAAGATGGACCTTAAAGTCCAGAAATGTCTACTCCAGTGTCCGCATGGTGTGGTACTCAACATTTTCAGCTCAAGATTTAGAGATACTGTGAAAGCTAAGGCAAGACACTAAAGGGTCTGGTTTGACTTTGAGCAGTAAGCAAGTGTTTAAGGAAATCAGTAAAAGGAAATGCCACAATTAAAAAAAAATGTAGGAAAAGTTGTTTTCCAAATTTCGGTTGCAGCTTTCCAACTGAAATGCTTCATGCCAGTGTTAACACTGAACCAGCAGAGCTCTGAGGTGGACAGTAATTTGGAGAAGACTTCAGTTTGACTAATTTCCCCTTCAAGGTCATCTCCTTGTGTAACCTTAGAGTGCTGGCAGTGTAGCGTCTATTTGAATCACTCTTTGGATGGCTGATGACCACTTTCACCTGAAGATTTGCCATGGACTTTATGAAAATTAGGTCACTACGTTCATGTTCAGGATTATCCTTAATAAAGAGAGCTGGATCTCTATCTACAACCCAAAGACCAAAGAGCTTTTTTCAGTGGAAGAGTGTCCAAGAACTAAGTCAGTCTACTGGATTAGGAGATGCTGCAGGGCTGAAAACATGAGCCAGCATCCAAGGGCCAAGCCTGCGGTTCCACTAGTAACCACTTATCCTGACTCCAAAAGCAAGTCAATCCCTACTGACTCCCATGTTAAAATGCTATTTTAATGTTGACCTCTGTGATAAAGACCATCCAATAAATTTCTGTACCAATTTTGATGAATTCAAGCATTACAACCTCCGATATCATCACTATGGGGTCCAAATAAACAACATAGCAGCTGCCAAAATGCAAATAATGTAGCTTCAAAATGTCAAATTAACAAAATACAGTGCACTGACTGGAAATGCAAAGTTTTACTTTAACATCCAGTGGCATCTGAGAACAAGCTGAACTGTGGTTTTGGGCCAAATAAAGACAGTCTTGGTCATATAAACATTGCTGTCATGCTGGAAGCTATCCAGAGGTGCACAAAGAGATAACCTTACAGGGTGTTTGGCAAAAATCAACTTAGGTATGCTTTGCTTTTTAATTTTTATGGAGAGAATCACTTTAAGATCACACCTCATGTTTGCCACATAAAATAACAAAGCACACTATGGTTATATTTTGTGTATTTATGCATACCCAGCCCACAACTCAAGGAGGGCTATGTGAAGATATACACGCTATTATTCACTGCATTTCCAAGAATACTGTTCCATCTATCCTGATGTTTGCCAAGGGAAAGGGACCTTGCATCTCAGCGTGAAAGAGCTAGTTTCCTCCATCAGCATGCTCCTGAAACCTCACCAACCTTCCCACTACACTGAATAATGGTGAGCGGTCGTAAAAGGGATCCAGGCCTTCGCTGGAGCCTCGGCAGAGCTCTCTCTCATCATCATCATCATCATCATCATCATCATCATCATCATCATCATCCTCTACCCCGAGCTCGGAGCTCGGGTCGTCCAAAAAGATATCATCGTCCAGGTCGTCCAAATCCTCCAACTCCTCCTCCTCCCCGCGACCCTCCCGCTGCGAGTCAGCCAGCTCAGTAATTTCAGAGGTGGAAAGGGTCGGGGATGGGGTGGGGTCACTCATGCGCTCGCTCATGCATGTGTTGAAAATGGGATTTCTGGTGCAGCCAGAGACATGGGAACTAGGTTAGTACAGTTAGAGAGAAGGGACGCACTGATCCACAGGAGAAAACCTTCTTCCCTCTGAGTCAGAAACAGCTTTTATTGTTTGTTTCAGTGTTGAGCAAAGAGCAGAGAAAGAGAAGACAGATGGGAGACTGCAGAAAGCTACAAATGTTGTGCTGATCGTGGGATATAGATAGACACATTTCTAACTTTAGGCATGTCAAAAACAAGTATTATTTCACCTACACAGGTATTCACTGTAATTTGCCCAGTCCTCATGCGCAGATTTAACCGCACATGTAAGTTTCTGCTTGGTGAGTGTCAGGGGAATTCAAATTTACTGTTTTAAGTACAGATTTTTACACATGCGTATTAAAAGAAGAGGCTAAGATGAATAAAATGTAGAGAAGGCAATTCAAGGAATGCGCACTCTTGCAGGTAACTGTAATCTAAACTGTTAAAAAAAAGTGAGCAGGGGAAGGAACCAAAGTTAATCATGCCAAGTGAGCCAATCATCAAAGGAGCTCTGTCCCATGATTGATCACTTTTTAAGGGATCACGTGCAAAGAACCTCCTTAAATGACAGCTTCAGTTCTATAGACCGAGGGAGTCCAACTCCAGTCCTCAAGGGCCAGAGTTCAGGTTTTAGATGTGTCCTTTATCCAGCACAGCTGATTTAAATGGCTAAATGACCTCCTCAACATGTCTTGAAGTTCTCCAGAGGCTGATAATGAACTAATCATTTGATTCAGGTGTGTTGACCCAGGGTGATATCTATAACCTGCAGGACACCGGTCACTGAGCCCTGGAGTGCCCCTACTCCTGCTGTAGACAGTGCTGTTTGACACCATATTTGCTCACAAAATGAATTCTGTTGACCAACCTGTTAACAGGCACTTGTTACAGTTGGATTTACTCCCAGCAATCACTGGATTACTGTAATGGTACACTATATGCTGCAACTGAGCTTTGGCAGTGAATATTTATGTGTGTGAAATAAGATCATTTGCTCACGGGCTTGCTTAATTGCATCTAAAGGTAATGACAGAAATTAAACGTCATACAGATTTCATTTGAAAATGGCCAGTCACTTTGAGTTATCACATCAGCCACATATGTACAAAGTGAGCTTGTATTCAGTTATGTATTAATTCAACCCATCAGTTCTCGACAGCAGCTACATTTTTTAAACTTCAAGTGTAAAGGATATAGTATAAAATAGCAGTAAACTATTAAAAGCATTGAAAACATCAAATGTTGTGCATCTGGATAAATATACACCTGCTTTCACCTTTATAATATGGACAGACAGATTGAAAACCTGAAAAAGAACAGCTCAAGGGCACAGTTTCCAATGTTTCCATGTCTTGCAGGAGCTGAATAACATTAAAGGCTGGAGTGAGAAGCTTAATATTACATAACAGGTGCAAGTGAGAGAGCGAGAGCGAGAGAGAGACACTGGGAGGCCATGTGCCAAGGTGGAAGAGAAAGAAACAGCAGGTTTTGAGTAGGAGGGCTGACGAAATGTTTTTCTCAAATCTTGCATAGATGATTTTCCCATTGATGTAGAAAGCTCTGTCATTAGCTGGGATGTATTGTTATCAAATGTATTTGATACTGTTACTTCAGTTTGTACTGGCAGGTTTTATAGTGGCTGAACTGCAGATAATTAATGCAGGTGTCCCCATCATTTCGGAGTACACTCCACACACAGTAAAGCCGCATTTCCAACCCAAGTGCCTGGAACTTTAACTCTCAGGAACGACATCCTGCAAGTGGAAAAGTGGACAGCAGCCTCCCTATATCCTAAATTTCTGATAGCTATGGCTAATACTGGTCTTTTTGGCCTCTGTATTTCTTATTCCTGTCCCGATGTGTTGGACTCAGTATTTACCTGCCAACCAGGCGGAACCAGGGGAAGCGATCGTAAAAGGGGTCACCTCCCGTCATCACATTTTCACAGTCCTCCACAGTACTGTTGGGCACATCAGCAGCACGATCATACATTTCTCTCATCAGATCTAGCCTCTGCCTGCAGAAAGCACCAACAATGAAGACATAAAAAAGACACAGAGCAGGGTGTTAATGAGAAAAAGTAAACAGCTTGGAAGAAATAAAATAGCACTGAGGAAGACACTGAAGCATGGCTCTTTTTTTTATTGCTGTTCGATATTAGGTTGGTAGATATTTTTAATTTGGAAGTGCAATTATTGAAGCGAATGTTTGCAATAAAAGAAACTGACTTATAAACTGAAGAGCACTAAAACAAGAGTTTCAGTGCGACACTTAATGAATTTTTGATTACCAAGATGAGTTTAAGATTTTGTTCATCAAAGACTTGCGTGCATGTTCAGCCACCTTAGTTTTTCTAATGTCCAATAGTGAGTTGCTCCATTCTTCTGATCTTGCACCTCCACCGCCACGATAGTACGTGGGAATTGTCGCTTCTCTCTGTCTTTAGTTGCCTCTGGGGGCAACAGGTCAGGAGGCAGGGGGGAGTAAAGAGTGTCTGTCAGCAACACAAACTGGAACTGCACCTGCAGGGGAAGAACGAGTATGCTCAAAGAGCCATTTCACAGCGTAGACCTGTGGATATATTCATCAGTCTAAATGACATTTCTAACCTTCTTCTTAAGTTCGACACTGATCGCATTAGCCTCCTTCAGGAAGATGGCATTTCCCCATAAGAGATCACGCAGCGAGGTGAACTGGTAGCATCGCCATTTACGGAAACTCCACACAGCCAGCTCTCTTTCCCTCTCCGTCCACTGCACTGTAGGCCAGAAAGAGGACTCGATGAAGGTATGATTATCCCTAATATAGATTTATAAATGTGTCTTAGTATTAATTGTTTTTACCTTCTTCTTCCGGTTCCTCCTCTTCTTCAGGGCCTTCTGGGTTATAACGGTCCACTTGCTTCTGAAGAGCCTCCAGCTTGCTTTCATAATCCTAATAATTTATAATTAAAGTTTTAAATACATGAACAAGCCATTCACGTTGAATTAATCATTAATAACTGGTGAAATGAAAGGCCCCAAAAAACTGCATTTAGAATTAAAGCGCGGAAAAATGTGTCGCGGCGTACAACTGTGCATATAAATACTGTCAAATACACATCCATGAGAATTAAAAATACTTTATGATATTATGCTGCAGATCCTGCCAGATAAAATTCTCCCACAGACTGTGGATTCTCCTCGTGCCACAGAGAATCAGAAATGAAATGCTGTAGCTTGTGGGCTGTCAGATCTGCTGATTAAATCTTGTTTTTTTTAAAAAATAAATAAATAAAATGTGTCTGTTATGTAATCCCATGTATCGGTTCTTCTTTCTCCTGCTGAGTAATATTTGTGAGTTGCAAAATTGCCTAGAAATTCCAGTAAGGTGAACTTTGCTTCACATTTGATCTGAAAACACCATCATAATTTTTTTATTTGGTATTTTCTGTAAATCTGCTCACTGATAATACAGTTTATATAATGTAAGCAGTAGATACCAATACTGAAATATACAAACTGCAGCTACATCTGTGTGTACGACAGTTCAGATAGATTTTTTGTTGGTTTTACTTTAATGATTACTGCTGATAGCAGTCAAAGCTGAACTCTCATTACCATACCAGTCTTTGCTGCTCTAGAAGGTTGCTGGCCTCCTCTCTTTCTTTGCGATACTGATCTTCCAGCTCCTGCAGCCTGAGGACAAAAAAACAAAGTGAACAAAAAAGACTTGATGTAGGTGGGTGATGCCCTACCTCACTGTGTGTTTTTAAGCCATTGATACTGAGAAAGAAGCTCAGGCTTGGGTAAAGTGGCAACTTCGGTCACTGCTTCAGACAGGACCACAAAAGCAAATTCTCACTCCATCTGTAGTCATCTACATTTGGAGATATGGAAGTTATGTCCTGACTTCTCCACCTTTCCTGAATGCAGGACCCCGGCACAGAAAAGATCAGACTTTAATGACAGTAGATATATATGACTTTGATTTGAGCATGAAAATGAGGAACTGGATTGGAGGTGGGTTACAAAGCAGCCAGTAGCAACAGTGGGGATAAAGCTATATAGATTATGCACACCATGTAAGAGTCCATGGTTACACTGTTTTTAACCTCACTGCTTTATCTGATGCTTTTTCTCTAATACATGAAGACTGGCTCATAAATTGCTCAGAAGTCTCAGACTCAGAAAATATTAAAAAGTAACTGAATGCAGTTTTAGAAATAGCTGTGGGTCTCTGGAGTGGTACCCTCGAAGACTGTTAAATTAAGACACAAGCTTAACTGCTGAGCCCAAATTAGAACAAAGTCCAAAAGAAAAAAAGAAGATCCAAAACATGTGGAAACAAAGTAATCCAAAGCACAAAAATGTGGCAGGAACAAACAGAGCAAACAAAAATGAGCAGGCTGAGGAGACGACAGAACTATTTATAGACAGGGATTGATTTCTGACGTAAAACAGGAAAGATAGGAACAACAATCAATCATTCAAATCTACTCTAAGAATAAAAATACACATTTTATTCAGTTTATCTGTGCATTGGGACAAACTGTTTCCTTATTGCACCTTGCAATAGGTATAGCAAAATCTAGAAGAATTGGTGCAAACCTGGTCCTTTTTTTATACTAACTGTTACCTTAAGTTCCAGAAATGGACTTTTACTGTATCTTTATTCCTGAAGGCGTACCTTTGTTCCATTTCTTGCTTCATGTCAATGCCCTGTTTCTCCAACAGCTCCCTCTGAGCGAAGGCCCAGTCCACAGGCTCAACAGGGGTTTCGGCACATGGGTTCTTATCCCTGTCAGCCCGGGCCTGTACAGGGTGGTTAAAACGGAAGACGTGGCTCTTCCCCAGGATGATGCGATTTCCTGCAAGGGCATCACATCAGATCAGAGAGTACAAGTACAAAATCTATGCATATAATGTTTGTGCTAGTTATGGCACAGGTTGCACCAACCTGATTTCAGAACAGTGGGTTCTGTCACCCTCTTTCCATTAACGTATGTCTCAGCTCCTTCACAAGGCTCAAGGATTACTGCTGCTCAGGAAAAGAAAATTCCATATGAGGTTTTGCTGACAACATTACAGCAATGTTTAACTTTGATGTGCACAGATACAAGTCTCACTTTCTCCCATTGGGCCAGTAGAACTAGTGAAGGTGCAGTGCTCGTCCTTTATGAAGTGACCACTGAGGACTATATCCTGGCGACTGCTGGCATCTAAACGACCGACCCTAAAATACATAAAAGTTAGTATGAATATATATAAAAGCAAGTTAATAACACACTTCATCTATGTAACATTTAGTCCTTTTTCATTTAAAGGGACAGTTTACCTCAAAATCAAATGTAGTCTTTTTCCTCCTGCATGTCGTGCTTTTTATTCATCTAAATTGTTGGGCTATACAGATGTGCTGAAAGCACCTGAAACCAAACCCCAATCCCAAAACACAGTAACAATGTTTGTTTTCGGAAATCATGTCCTGGTTACTTTAAAAATTCACAAACGTTACTGTGAACAGTTCAAAGCTACACCATCAGATCGTATCACTGTGCAGAAGAAAGCGTCCATCCACCGTGACAAGAGGCTCATGGTGGTGACAGTGTCACAGGAAGTAATCACTGATGGCCTCCTCCTTAGCTGGGCTACATCATTAGCCAGCCATACCTTTACTTTGGCTGATGAATCCATAGAAAAAAAAGAATTCTGGCAGGAAGCTGCTCACATCAAGCTGAGTGAATTTCTTTTAGTAACCAGGCTGTGATTTCTGAAGAGCGACACTTCTGCTACTTCTCCTTTTGAAATCACATCAGTGTGACAGAGTACGATCACATAGTGGCTAATTGAAGCTAGCATCTAAGCCCATAATCTCATCAGGAAGGTGTTCACTGAGGACAGGGACCAAGAAATGCGCCTTTTCTTTTTAACAACTACAGAAATTCTCATCCACTTACTGCCTATTAAAACCATTACAGCTTTATGGCATGTCCATCTTTCATATACAGTTTATGTATATGAATATATTCATTTAAGAAATAAATCAGTGTATGTAGTGAAAAAAAACAAGTACTAAATACAATACAAGGGTCAAAATGGGCGACAAACCACAATCTCCTGGCTGATAAACCTGTGACCAAAATGTGAGTCTCTAAATGGGGACCACTGGCAGAGAACATTTAGTGCCAGTGAGGCACAGGCATCTGACACAACATTATATGACGCCATGTGATGAGAACATGTTTGCAATGCAGGCCTGTTGTCTCTTGAAGTTAGATTAGCATAAAAACAATGTCCTTTTTTAATCAGTATCGTTCTAATACAGCAGTTCTTAAACTTTTTCTGGTGTGCCCTCATCATAAGCTGACCCCACACTTTTTATGAGTCATTCGCAATAATATGGGAGGCATCTAATAATAAAAAGGATCCAAGTGGGGTTTTAATTAAATAAAGGTCATCATGACAGCTTCAGCAGACTTTACTTTCTACATAAATCACATTTGTTTACATCGCATTTTCTCCTGGTCTCCCCTGCAGTGGTTTTGTCCTCTCAGGGTGAGAACCACCTTCCTCTTATTACGCTGTAAAATGTCAGCCTCTAACCTGGTGATCCCGTCTTTGATATAGTACAGCAGGCACTCAGACATCAGAGGGTCCTCGTTGAGGTTCACCAAATGAGGCGTCTGACACAGAACGGGGAATATTTCACTGTTAACTTTCGGTAAGCAATATGCATGAGTCATTCAACATCCATATGTTATTTACATTATAACATATGTCAGCTGTGCACAACAGGTGGTCTGAAATACAAGCTCTCCCAGTAAGAAACATCAAACAATCAGCAATAGTTAAAACCATGCAGTCACTCCCCACAGCGTCCCAGCATGGAGTGTTTAATGAAGTCAGATGTTTTGGGGCTGCAGGCAAGCAGCCATAAATCACTGAAATTAGGGCACTGCTATTATCTTTTCCCCCATGTTTACACCCATGGCTGCCTTCGGTGCAGTGAGGGAGTGTTTGAAGTGAGTAATGAAGTAGATTTAGGATAACACTTAATGAAACAGTGAAACTCTCGTCTGATCTGCCTCGACGAGGCTCGAGCACTCATCAGAGGAGACACTTTAAACACTTCAGAGCTACAAACCTCGTTGGGGGAAAACAGCCCGACTGTGTCGATAAACACGGGCTCGGGCTTTCTAGGGCTATCAGTGGGCTTTGGGGGTAAATAAACAAGCACAGCAGTGAATAATCGAAGCGGTAAGGATTATATCACAGTGGTTTTGGAGAAGTAGAATACATCTTTTACCTTCTTTGGAGAGAACACACCAACTGTTCCACCATCTTCTCGCATTGCTACACCCATTTCGGCCAGCAGGGCCTCTCTGTTGACGAATATCATCAGCATACCAAGTGAGATATTTTTTTTAATGTAAATATACTTTTTTTTCAACATTGATTCAATGAGAAATGTTCCTAAATAAAGCATAGACCCAATATTATTCTGGAAGTGGCACCAATTGCTCTATACTCAGATCACCGAAAGCTTTTATTTTTGGCCAAACAGTTACTTTGCCAGATTAGCTCAATCTGATCACAGAACCACAGCTAGACGTCACTGCTTCGACAATCCTGTAACCTGAGGACATGCCACATCAGTTTGGTTTTCTTGTTGATTATAGCTTAGCCTGTAGTAGGTTGCATTTGGTGCAATATGACGTTATTCCTGATTTGAGCCCAGAATCACAACGTTAACACAGCGTTTCCTGATGGCCGCTGTGGCGTAGGTGAGATTATCCAGCCTGTGACTTTAATCTCAGAACACCAAGGTTTCTTATGCTTTTTTATCTTTAGTTTTTGCAGGTTTTGACTTTAATATCTTTAATGTCCTTGAAACTTTGAATATTTACTACTAACCTTAGAGAACTTCTTTATTTTTTATAAAACTTTTATAAAACTTTTATAAAAACAAAAAAAAGTTTGTTTTTTAAAGAAATATATTTTCCTGCAAATGAACAACTGTAATCTTGGAAATTTAGAAATTTTAATTCAGGAAATTGTCCTTTTTTTTCCTTTGAATATTACCTCTCTCATCTTACAGCATTTAAGTTTTTGTATGTGTGTTGTAATCCTCCTGTGTTTCTCTTTTCTTGAATTATTAGGATGGTGTTCCTGTTTTGGCATCTTTAGTATTTCCAAAGTTTAATCTTAAAGAGGAATTTAAACAATGCAATAAAATAAATTAAAATAAAACTAAGCATCTGGTTGTCTTACCTTTCCATTCTAATGGCTTCTGTTCTGCGAAGTTTCTCTTCCCAGGTCTCATTGAGCTCAGCGATGATTTTCTCTGTTTCCTGACGTTAAAAAATAAAAAAGTGTGGTGATAATCATTTAAATAATAACTATATCTGGACTTAACGCAAAGAAACATCCAAATTCAGCAATGAAGCAATAGAATTCCAGTATATTCCAGTATTTTATTAGCTTACTCAATTGCTTACTTTTTTAAGTAGCAGAAATTAAATGACCCATATCTGTGATTTCATTAGATGACCTTATGTTGGCATGTAAAAAAGGGTGTGAATATAATGTCTTTGTGCCATAATGTAGAGCTTCACTGAGTATTAAAATGGCCGAAAGCGCCAGGGACACAGATAAAGGGGGGCCTGGGGTGACCCTGCTCTGCTTGTCCTCCTTGGTGCATCATTTTAATTATAACTACACTGCTCATAAAAAGCTTGATTGGCATTCACCAGAGAACACGAGAATTGGTAGGTGTCCCAGTGGAGCCCCATTCTCTTCACAGATGAGGTTCACACCGAGCACGTGTGACAGATGCCACGGCGTCTCGAGCCTTTTTCACGTCTGTCACATGTGCTCGGTGTGAACCTGTGAATAGAACTGGTTGCCAGTTCTGCTGTTCTTTGATGAATTGAGTTGCATTGTGGTGGGCTGTCCCACAAATTCTTTGCAAAAATGCAGCGTGTACTGTGTTTGCATCGATAAAATTCAGAATTTTCACAATATGCTCAGTGTGTAATGGCCTTAGTCTGGGTTTTGGTCAGAAATATGCGCGCGGAAGCCTGTTGGTGGTCATTTTGTTGGGCTCTGGGAATTTCTGAAGACCCATTTGTTTTTAGGAAATCATGTTTTGGGTTATAATCTACTGGAAATGCTCAGAAAGGCAAAAAGTATAAAAGACCAATTTGGTTTTTTGAACTTTTTTATTGAATCTGCCCACAATTAGAAAGACTCTGAACCTCAACAAATGCTTGGTGAATCTCACTGAAGTTTTATTTTCTGACTGTGTAAGACTGGGGTGGGGGTTAAACTGGGTTTTGTGCTCACCTTCAGCCTCTCGATGGCCTCCTCGCTGCCTGGGCTGAACATGATGCGATCGTGCAGACTGGCAATAGATCCGGCCCGACTGGACAAGGCTGAGAGAGATGGAGAGGGGCTCATCCCCGTCATGGCATTGGTCACTGTGGAGAGATCATCCCTTTGATTCACAGCTTGGCCTTTATTGTTATTGTTCTTGTAATCGGATATGTCTGCCAGGGTGGGACGGGGCGTGGGGAGTGGGGACAGGAAGCGGGGATTGGGGTAATCGATAACAGGGAGTAAAAGAACGGAGAAATGCAGACAGAAAAGGAAGAGAAGAGAATAGAAAAGAAAGAAGACACGTGTCTTGAAACAAATCTAACTTACAGAGAGAAATTTGAACTGGTAGCACAGAAGCGAGGGCAGCACCAGCAGAAAGCCACAGACAACTCAAATGATGCAACAAGGAGGCCATCCAGCCACAAGACGACTCAACGAAAATGTAGCTACCATACAAAACTTCAAGCACAGCGTGATATGCAGAACCATTGAGAAACTGTTCGAGCAGCGTGAGAAAAGATTTCCATTACTCATTCCCATTCAAGCATCTCTACCAAAAAATTAAAAACTGTCACCAGTTATGGAAAACAACAAAGTACGTGAGCTCTGCAGAGCCTGTGTGCGCAAACACGATGACTCATTTTTAATGGCGTCTTATTTTCTGCACAGAACATTAGAAAGCCAGAACTCTCAATTAAGATTATTATCTAAAAGCAGCAAGATGCATTTACTGCTCAGCATGCTTTGCTGAAATTATTAATGTCAAACAAATTACTGGAAGCAGAAATCCATTTCTCTGGTAGAGGATCAGACACAGCGATGAGTTTGTCTGATTAGCTTTGAATGAAATTTCTGGGTAAATCTATTATTAAAGTAACACATAAAAAAGGGCCCCTTATATTTTTCTGTTCAGAGCTTTATCTTGGATTTATCGTGGCACCTGAAAGGCCTGAGCAGAAAGCAATAATAACAACCTTGCTGCTGCTGCTATGGCAACACAGAGCAATAAACTGGCCAAGTGTATCACACCCATCCATCTGGACAGGCTTCGGCTCGCCAAGATTGATCACATAATATTGCCTCTGCGGTTAATTAAGTTGTGTATTATGGAAAGACTGTAAAAATCTATGGCATGAAAAGTGCAGAAGACCTAAAAGATCCACTATTATGTAAGTGATTATATGTCTGAAGACTACATCATCACCCTCATCTTATCGTTCCTCTGTGCCCTGTTATCCTGCCTGCCAACAGGCGTTGACAGACTGATGATTCGTAAACTGTAAAGGGAAATGTAACAAGGTAATTATCCAAATATCTTTTTAAAGTAGAGACATTTTCTTTCTCTTAAAAGTTCTATTTTTTACAAATGACCTTTTTCAGGGAACTTGAGAACTTAGGGATCTAACACAGGAAAGGTGTTATATCACCTGGTCCACTTTTATATAGCTTTATAGCTAAAACAGGATAAAAACATTTTTTTTATATGTGCTGCTGCCAGTGTGGTCTTTAAAAAGACCTTAATAAACATACTGAGCTGTACTATAATTTTTAAAAATACATAGCTTACTTCTGTTCAAATTATATTGCTACTATTGACCAACTATACTGTACGTTTTCTTTAATTTATTCATTATAAAATACAAAAAACCCCCCACTTGGAATAATGTTTGAAATGGAGATAAAGGCAGCATGATTTTCAAATCTCATAAACGCATATTCCATTAACCCCAGAACACTAAATATTTAAACTGAGACTTTTTACTCTTTCATGAGAATATTTGGAAGGAAGAAACAATTAAAAGGAAATAATTAAGGGAAATATCGCTGCTAATAAGGTTAACTGGCAACAGGTTAATAACAGGACTGTAATCCTCAATCAGACAAGGAAGGAACGTTTTCCTGTTAAGAGTGCAGCAGCTGCTCTCCTCGGCTCCCACACATTTATAGGATGTTGTTAAAAGAAGAGGGGATGCTACACAGTTGGAAATCACCCTATCCCAACGTTTTTGATTGTGCTGCTGCCATCAAGTTCAAGATGAGGTCATCTTTTTCTTAGACGTTCTATTTTGTTAATTGAAGATAAAAATATGTTTATGAGATATGCAAATTATTGCATTCTGTTTTCTCACAACATCCAAACTTTTAAGTTTGTTTATTGAGGTTTATTCAGATTTTTATTACATCGTTATCTATTTTTTAAATGCTTTGTGAATATATTGCTTAGAATATATTAGGGGATTTAATTCTTTACTGCACTGCATTGCATGTGTCATTAAATCTTTTTATGTGATATGTGTGTTTTCTTGCCGGAAAAATAAAGCGCGTCGTACACAGACAGACCTGCCAGGGGAAATGGATGTCACAATTTCTACGTCAGGGAAATTAAAGATGAAATGAATCCCATTATGGTGCACAAGCTTCCATACTATATTGCTCCGCTGACCTATCAGTGCATCTATAAAGTCATACTCAGATCTCTACAGCACCATAATATAGCAAAGCCTGAATAGGGGTGGAAAACATGCTGTTTGTATTTCATTAACATTAGCTTCTCGCGTTTCACTAAAAATCATGTAAAACAATCAGAACAGTTCCTTTGGTGCTGCAGAGAACACTGAAAAACCACTTTAACACTGCCACATTAATCAGCTGCAATTCTAAGCTGCAAAGCCAGAAAGCAAGAAACAGAAAACACACATTTCAAACCCTCGATATCAGCACCAGACGCTCGATATGCTGGGAGAAGAGACAGAGAGACAGCACAACACCTTTAGTTAAATTCTCCACAGGTAAAAATGTTCATTTAGCTATTGGTGAACACCTGAGCACTGCAGTCTTAATATGCTCTATGCGCTCCAAACATTAATCCTGATCTTTCTCTGGGAAAGGAACTGTGCATGGTTTCAAAATAATATAACATCCATCTAATACATCTGTTTGCAGTACTGCAGTAAAAGTGGTATCAAGATTAGAGATGCAATGAGCTAATACTATATGTTCTGGCCAAAATTATATATACTTTATAACTTATATAGATATAATTATATAAATTAACCAAAATTAGTGGATTACATTTTGGGAAAAACAAGTGTAATATAGTCTAAGCTAATGCATAGGAGAGGTGAGTCATGAGTGAGCATCAACCTCAAACGAAGTATCAAAAACTGCAGTTCCTTTAATGTCACCCTGAGGCTGGCTCCAAAAATGAATCAATCCCATGTTAAAATATTCATATATTCAAAAATGTTTACAGCCAGTTACAAAACAGTTTCACCCTCCATAGATAATTTTTCTACTATAAATCAACTGTTCAACTTTGTGTCTTTGTGCAAACAGGCTGCTAGGATTCTCCTGCTGATGCTGTTTTACATTACTGAGCTGGAACTCTTGACCATATTTGTTTTTTCGACCATTTTTAAATGATTTGAACAAATATATGGTTTGCTGTACAGCTCATCCAAAAGTTTTGTGTTCCACCAAACACACTATAAACTGTTCAGGTGCCTAAGAAAGGGAATATGATATCGGTGCTTGTGGATAACTGAGGCTGTGGTATCTGTAATGGTTTCTGACATAAAAAAGTGCTACTGAGATGATACCTAATCAAGATGAATTCACTTCCCAATATAAGGAGATGTATAACTTGTGCCGTGTTATTTATGTAAGAGCACCCTGCCTGTCTAAGGACAGGAGTGGAGGCAAAACATTTCCTCTCACATAGCTGGTATGATGTGTTAGCTTCAGATGCTAATGCTAGAAACAACGCCTACACCATTTTTTCCAGCCTGTTTTTAGACACAAATGGGAGAATAATGCATTCGTGCCAAGTTTGGTCCTACTGCTGTCTGAAACCACTTGCTATCTATTCATTTTCATTAACTTCTTCCCACTGATTTTATTGCCCTGGCTGGTTCTTAATTTGCTTCTTGGCCTATTTGAACAGATCAACATGTCTGTGAGTACATCACGGCTTCTGTGAGCACAGGGAGAACAAATTTGTTTGTGAGTGGGCTGAGCTGAGGCTGACTCTTAAAAAAAGGGTCCAAGACCATTATGAACAATTTAAAATTCAATCTACAGATAATGGGCACATAAATCCAATGAATGGTCCCTTACTCTCAATGATGTCACCCAGGCCTTGAGCAAAGAGGAGCTCTTTCAGGCGAGACACCTCCTCCTTCAGCTCACGCACCAATCGGTTGTTGGGATCCTCGTTAATGACAGCGTTACAGCGAATCTGTTTGGCACGGTCAGCATACCTGGGAATGCAAAAGATCACTGAGACACAGGTGTGTGAGGAGAAACACACACATATATACACATTCATAATTCCCCCGACATCCCCGTCTCTGCAGCCCGGAGCTGCAGCTGCAACCCGTGAAGGATGTTTGAAGTGTGAAAGTGAGGCAAACCTCTGAGGGAAACGTGGATTACACAATGCCTGCGTTTCACCAACACCGGTGTCCTTCAAAGCAACATTCACCAGCTGTGTGGGAGGAAAAATCTGCAGCACAAAATGTGCTGTCTGCTCTGTTTACCTGAGCGTGCTAAGGGTCTCATCGTAGTTGATATCAGCTGGACTCAGAGCAGCAACCATCGCAGTTCGAGAATTTCCCCCTGACAGAGAAGAACAGATGTAAATTTATGCTTTGAGTTCAGAATGTGTACTTGATTGTCACTAGTTCTGCATGAATGTGGTGTCAGGAAAATAGGAAAACACTGTCTGAACAAGTTAAAATTTAGATTTTGCTACACCCAAAAAATGTCATTTGATTACATATAGTACAATTACATAAGTACAACATAAATCTTACATTTAACAGAAAAGTTGTGGTTTGCATTAAAATGTAAAAGTGATTAGCTTTTGGGGTTCAGACGCACAATTTTCTGGAGGGATTCTTTTACATATCACAGTGATGTTAGAAATATTAGAGACATTCAATGCCTTTGAAAAACGGTGTTCATACCCAAATTTTCTCTCAGTAGCCAAGTCAAAACTGAATCTCGGTATGGAATGAAGCTTTCTGCCTTTTTCTTCTTTTTATTCTGTTTATAAATAAAAGACACACAAAAAGTCAGCATGAATTAATTTTTTCTGTGTTTACTATAGGTTCAAATAAATAATGAATTAGGATAATAACATGTGAATCACTCACCTTATTCGGCCCAGAGTCCTAAAATGAAATGAGACAGTGGAAACTGTAATTTTTATCCAACACAAAATCGACTTCACCTTAAAAAATACAACAAATGGTTAATACAGACCATTTCTGCCAAAGCAGAGATGACTTTCCCCAGCGTGGTTAGAGATTTGTTGATATTTGCTCCTTCCTGTGACAGAACAGTAGGCAGATAAGGATTACGATGACAGTAAGCACAGACTGCTTTAACATGGATTTAGTCAGATAAATAAACATGATTTAAGATTTTTTTTTGTAGTGTTTTCACCTTTAGCCTGGTCCCTTTGGCTCCGGTAGAATCGGCCCTCTCACTGCCAGCCAAATCCACCAAACTGATTTTACTGACCTAAAACAGCACACACCAAATCAGTAGAATCCAATTAATAAGATGCAACACATGGGCTTTCAACAACACAAAAAAAGAATCAATAGGCATTCATCTTTATTATAGAGACAGGCCTTATTAACAGCTTAAGAATTATCCTCATGACCTTCAAGGAGTCATTGATTTCCACGTCCCATCAAGACTTAAATCAGCGTCATCAGTCAGAGGGCAGATAAACCGAGACAGCAACTCGATGTTAAACAAATTCAGTGAGGATCAGATAAAAATCCTCTACCTTCTCGGTAGTGTTATCCATCTCTGTGTCGTGGCGTTTCTGGGTGAATATGATGTTGAAGACGGCGTGCGAGCGACTGCTTGTCTCATTCATGTTGGTGGCAGCCACAGTCCTGCACAGAGACAATGAATTTTAATTACTTTGTACAGTTCAGATTTTAGCTAGCAGGATGTGGGTTTAAGTATAATTTAATGAAAATGTTTTTTTTATATGACACACTCATAAAACACTATTCAAAGTAGAAATAGGTAGTTATATATAAAGCGTATTTTAAAAAAAGTATATTTAGTGTAACAGCAGCTATGTTTAGGTAAACGTCATGGTCACTGTGCTTGTGTTTTATCCCCCAAACCTTATGACACTTCCCATCTTCATGCTTCCTGTTTTATTTTGATCATTCATTTTTTTCCTGTGTCTATTGTCGTTTTAATATTTATATATAAATATTTAAATTGATATTAACTGTTCCCTTCATTTCCCTTCTGTTTTCACTGTATGTATTCATAGATGATCCGAGTGGATGTATCCATCCTTCTATGCAAGACAGATTTTTAAAAAGGGGTCAAAACTAAAGCACAAAAAGCCACGATGTTTAGGTTTTTCCTTAAGCCCCAAATCATTTTTGGAGGGAATTTCAACCAATTCTACAGCCAAAATCAAAAACCTCAGAGTCTAAGAACAAGAGAGACGTTTAATATCTCACAATCATAACCAATCTAGAATTATAAATGGAAAAACCTGGAGCCTGCTAAGCAATGCATCTGACATTTTTATAGTGCACCACAAACATACATTTCATTAGAGTTTCATTCATTCCTTATTGCAAACCTCATATCCGGTGTGCAGTTACTTTAAGAGAGAAAGAAAGTGACTAATTCAATGGAGTCTCTCTTTAATTAGCCCTTTCATTCATTTAATTTCCTCTGGAGCTAAAATAGAGCTAAATAGAATTTGCAGTTCCCCAAACAGCCACTTTCAATTTCCTTCAAAAGTGAGTTAATCCACATAGACTGCAATGTTAAAATGCAATATCACAACAGAAACATGTGTCCAGAAAACCAGCCTCCATAACAACTGTCCATGAGGTAAACTGTTATATAACTTATTGCTTTAATTTCTATTAACTGGAGTCGCTACTGAACTGCATTTTCCAACCCTGTTTGTGGTCTTTGTACCTTTTGGAACATTTTTATGTAAATATCTGTTGAATAATAAGCCCTGCTGTGAGGAACAGCTCGCTTAACAAGTTTGTGCTTCTATTTTGTTGTTAATTGGCAGGTATATGCCGTGTTGCCAACTCCTCAGTAAGGAAAATCGCTATTGGTTGTCCTAAAAGTCGCTAGAAGTCGCTAAATGACGTCATTGCCTAATTTGCATAATTGGTCATGCTAATCTAATTGTAACCTATGTTGTTGGAGAGAGAAATAACATCGTGGAAGAGACATAAAGTGAGTAAAAAACGTCCTAAATGCATTTAGAGTTTATTTAGAACTACAAATTAAATTTATTTTAGCAATTGTTGTTTTTTTTTAATGTCACAATTCCAACCCTGCTCCTTTACCCAGGCTTGGACCGGCAAAAGTGACCAAAAATAGGCACTCTGGTGGAGTTACTTTGTGTGTGTGTGTGTGTGTTTATAAGTAGTTTTAAACCTTGTGATCCACAAAACAGCATAAGAGTAAAAGAGTAAAAGAAGAACTGACTGCGTTACAGCACCCGCTGCTTGTTGAGAGTAAAAGCAATACGGGCTTTCACGTCTTTTTTTAGCGACTTTTTTTTAGAAAAAAATTCGCTAAGGGATCTGAAAACTCGCTAAATATAGCGACAAAGTCGCTAAGTTGGCAACACTGGGTATATGTGTCCTTAGTGTTGCACTCACACAGTTTATGGCAGTTTACGCTACTTGCTAAGCTAATGTGCTAACTTAGCACTCCTCCTGTGGTTCACTGCCTTTTCCTGAGACTCGAGAAATAGTTGACTACATTACCTAGCCTTGTTGCCAGAATCCATCAGGTCCTGGATGTCATTGTAGGAGGTGACAGCCAGCTTGGACAGGTCCTCCACATAAGGTCCCATTAGAGGATGCTCTCGCACACGCAGGTGCCCTTTGTTTTTTGGGTTCAGCAAGTCCCGCACACGCTCACAGTAGATTTCCATGTAGCTTACCTGTTTCAAATTGACAGTTGATTGAACATTTATAACAGATGCGAGGTCTGAATCCACTGTATGAACAGGAGGGGCGCCCACACTCACCTCTACAGAGTAGGACATACTGTTGTCTGTATTATCATTTATCTTTGTAAAAAGGTCTTCACACAGCTGGAAGAGGAAAACATAATAATCCGCAAAAAGATAAATTATTTAATTTATTATGTGCCCTGTTAAATTAATCAAAGTGTGTCAGTACCAGGGGAATAATTCCTTGCTGATCCTTCACATCCTGTTTCCCCATCATGGTGTAGGACTTGCCTGCACCCGTCTGACCATATGCAAAGATGCAGACGTTGTAGCCTTCAAAGGCATGAAGCAACATTTCCTCTCCGATGTCTTTGTACACTTGCTTCTGAGATGCATAATTGACATCTTCGGGCTGTGGACAGAGATCAATAATTGGTCATTTAAGACTAAAAATGTCTTGTAAGGCTTGAACAAATATATCCAAAACTGATGAAAATATGTGGATGCGTTGTGTTTGGGCTCCGGGGGTGCACGGATGACTTACCGAAGTGTGAGACCAGTAGGAGTAATCAAAGTTGAAGCTCTTGTTGTCTTTGGCCTGCTTAGGGTTGATGATGGCTGAAAGACAGGACAAGGAACATGGGTCAGAGGGAGGGTGAGAACCACCCATGTGAAACTGGATCTGAGCTGGGTTAGTATCATGTTGTGCTAGTAGAGCTGGAAAGGTTTCAGTCACCTCTCCTTTCTGCACCAACAGCTACCTTTGGGATTAAGTTATTGGGCTTGGCCTACATAAATTCATTACAGAAACGCATCACATTGGAACACTTCATCCAGAAGAGGACCAAACAGAAGGCATTGGAGACCACGTCAAAGTATACAATCCAATATTTGTTAAATCAAAGGCTGAGGTCACACACCGTCAGCCAGTCAATGAGGTAAACCAGTTGAGAAACAGGCAAAAAGGCCAGTTATTTTGTTACCTGTCAGGACTTTTCTAGGACACCTTGCGCTCAGCTCATCTTTCAACAGCATACAGCTTGAAACAACCAGCCGCTTTTAGCTGTAATCTGTCAGGCTCCGCTGACCTTTGGTAGCCCTCCAATAAATTCCACCTTTGTCAGTGTTATAACTTTCAGTCTTCCCAGAAGGCCAGTGAAGTGTCTACATGCTTTTATGTCTTCCTGTGTCTGCCAGCTGTTCTGTAAATCACAAATCCTCCATGAGCTATTTAAGCATCCATCTCGGTACTCAAACAGGAAATGCCTTCTCCCCATCAAACAGTGTATTCACACAGCGTATGCATATTGATAGCGTATAACTTCATCCCAGATTAAAGGGACAATTCGCTCTAAATCATTTTTGCCCTCCAGATTGAATTGCTTTTTTTTTCATCCAGACTGTTTTGGTGAAGGTTGCCCAGTTTTCGAGATATTGACTGCAGAGATGCCTGGTTTCTGTTAAATATAACAGAATAAACAAACAAAAAATACATCTGAAATACTCAATGTTTCATGATGTAGTTACTCAAAAAAAGTGCCAAAACCTTATTGTGAAGATTTTGTGCAGGAAGTAGGAAACATGCATCTTCTCATGAAGACAGGCCGGGTTTAAATATTAATGGAGTTTCCTCTCAGCTGATGTTGGTCATTGAAGATGGTGGAAAGGATAGTTCCTACATGACACTGTTCACATCAAAAGCTGTGATTTTTTTTTTTAAATAAGTATTTCAATATTTTTAATAAGAGATGTTGAGTTATTTAAATGCATTTTTATTTCAAGTTTTGAGCACCAAAATACACCAGATTTTTACATTTTCATTACATTCAAGAGAAGGCAGACATCTCTGCAGCCAAAATTTGATTTTGGAATAAGCACTAACAGTCTGATCCCCAGAATGACGACAACTCAAGAAAATCCAGTTAAACAGTGATTTATAATTAAATCATATCGTACTGATGGCTAATCTAACGTCATGTTAAGGATGTCTGCCCCGAGGCCTGATCGACATGATGATGATACACTGGTTTCAAAAATAAAGCATAGAGTATTTAAAGTATTTTGAGTGGAAAAGGTTTTGCACTTCGAACCAAAGGACTAATTACAGCTTTTTATAGATTTAACTTGTGGAAAAACACATTTTTGGGGAAAACAATATTTCAAGTTACACGTAAAACCTTTTGATAATATTATTGTGCTTGTTTTTCATTCGTAGACATTACAATATAAACACAACGTAAAATATTAGATACACAAATTATCTTTTTTCTGCAAAAACATCTAATAAAGAGTATTTCTTGAGATTTTTTTTGCTGTGCATCAAACAGTGCATCAAACCCTGATTTGTCCAAACTCAGCAGACACAATGAAATCGAGATTAGTTTGTTTTTTGTTTTTGGCATGAATACTACTCCACATGTTGGTGTGCCCACATATCTCATTTGGTCTTGGTGCCAACATGATGCTTCCTCCCTGCTCCCTGGGCTCCAGACCATTTTCTCTACTAATGCAGATGTGGTCGATAAAAGAGGAAAAGGCCCAGAGCTAAGTACGAGCTCAAGTAAGTGTACACAGTTTTATTTCCTCTCTACACTGCTACTGTTCCCAGCTATGAAATATAGGCCAGTGTGGTTGACTTGGGTTTCAGATTTCAGATCTAATCCTCGCCATGACTAAGAGATGAGACTTCACTTACTGGCCGTGACTCATCCTGGTACTCTGGAAGAAGGCCAGATATGAACATAGATGTACTACAGTCCTCATATTTGCCATACTTATCCAAGCAGTGTCATCTGTATTTGCTGCTAACAGAAACAATTTCGAGAACCATAAGGACATTCGAAGAGAGGATCTTCAATCAACGTCAATACACTTAAAATATGGAGTTTTAAAGAAATATGTTCTTCTTTTGTCCATTTTTCACCTTTCCACAATGTTTTAGGATTTTTGGCCTGCTTAGGTTAGGTTAAAGGTAAACCTGGCTGAAAGTTAAAAAATAATCCTCATTCATCTTATCATCATCGTATCTTGCTGCTGACTATCACAAATCTAGACTGCTCACTAATTATTATTAATGTTTAGCACTGTTGCCTGTGCTGCTACTGTCACACAAACATGTTGTGCCCGTCTGTGTGGATATTCTCCAGAATCTCCGGCTTCTCCCACCATCGGAAAACATGCTCTGCTAATGCTGCCTATCTGAAACAGGATGCTCTCCCAAAGGAGATTACTAATCTCTCTACATTTACTTCTTATTTAAATAAGGGTTAAAAAAGGGTTAAATTTTAAAAAATAACAGCTGCCGAAACAAAAGACAGTTCCTACGTAGCAGCAAAGGAGTTTGTGCTGCTTCACTGCAGCTTATTCTGTGTTGCATCTTTTATTATGCAGTAATTTCCTTTTCTGACATATTTCACTAAGCAGTATTAGTAGTCACATTACTTATTGCTTTTAACTGGGTGTATAGTAAATATTACCTAAATATTACACAATCAGGAAACTGTCCATTCTGACAGAAAACGCTGATCTGCTTTTACAAACTCTGGATTCACTCACTCGGTAAATAACTGAAAGGAGACATGAACTACTTTATCAAACCATCCATCCATTCGCTTCCGCTTATCCTTTTCAGGGTCGTGGGGGGCACTGGAGCCTATCCCAGCTGTCATAGAGCAAGAGGCGGGGTACACCCTGGACAGGTCGCCAGTCTGTGGCAGGGCCAACACACATGGACAGACAACCATTCACACTCACATTCACTCGCACATTCACACCTAGTGGCAATTTGGATTATCCAATTAACCTATCCCCACAAGCTGCATGTCTTTGGACGGTGGGAGGAAGCCGGAGAACCCACGCAAACACGGGGAGAACATGCAAACTCCACACAGAAAGACCCCCGGCCTGATGGTGGAATTGAACTCAGGACCTTCTTGCTGTGCTAACCACTGTGCCACCGTGCTGCTTTATCAAACCTCTAAAATTAAAAAAACACAAAAAACCAAGGATTTCATTATTGCCCAGAAGCCTTCGCTATATGACATCCTCTCTAAACTTACTCATCTTCAACAGCGCTGTGATTCATACAAGATGAGCCCTCTGCATCCCTACTTAAGCACAGAATACAAGAGTGTCTTGCATTCAGATAAGGTAACTACTTTGGAGTGGTGGTGACTGGCAGCACGAATTACCATCAGAGCGGAAGTACCGGGTACCGCCTTTGCAGACTGCACGGGTACAGACTTCTTTTATACTATCCTAACAAAGCTTGTTAAATGCATGTAAGGTTTTTATTTGCAATGAAACGTTTTTCTGAAAGTAGCCACAAACAAAAAGAGAATTTCTGACTGAGTAATTGTTTAAACTAATTTAGTAACCGACCATATATGAGGGCTGCAGTGAGACACGGGAGCAGGACTGAGTGTTTAAGATCAATAGCTGAGGTATCTCTTCCAGTGATCATCGCTTATCTCTCCACCATAGGACAGTTTCTGCATCATTTCAAGCACACAGAGGAGACCTCCTTCAACCCTTGCCGTATCCACTTTTGCCATCTATCTTCCCTTTTTATGATGGAAGCACTTTTTAATTTTTAGCTGTAGATTTAATTGATGACCCGTCATTAAGTGCAGACAATTAGACGAGAAAAGCGAGCAGTTCATTTTCTTCCGTCTTTGTCACCACGTCTGGAGTGTTTTGAAGTAAAAGCCCAATCGATACATTTATCAACATAAAGTACACACCAGGGTCACTGCCATTCATCTTTACTATACACATAAGATATCTTGGTAATCAAATATTAAAAATGTATGAAGACGGAGAAACTGCTGATCATATTTTTTTTCAGTGTTCTAAATACCCAAATACCTCAATAAAAGCTGTTTCTAATTCAGTTTTTGCATGGAGGTAATTAACTGAACTGTAAAAACCGGCATGTGATAACAAAATATTTTAAGTTAATGTAATTTGATTTATTAAAACAACAGTGTATGATTTGCATTAACAGTCTATATTTACAATGTTGAATCTATATTTCTTTATAAACATTTATCCTATGAATTTTAAAATGAAGGACTTATTGGGCAAAAAAATTTATTACTGTTTACTGTTTTTGTTTAATCTTTTTGCAAATGTTTACCACCTTAAAATGTACTTGCAACAATGTTTTTTTTTATAGCTGTGTATTATGAAAGAATACCACTACACTGTATTCCAATTTTGAGCATTCCATATGTTTTATATTTTCCTAATATTTCCCTAATAACATCAAATAATCTTTTTACGTAACCGTGACTGAAAATAGTACTGCTCATGCTGATCAGGTGGCCCAGTTTTAAAGTTTCCCACTTTATCAAATGCCTCCACTCATCACTATATCTGTCAGGAACGCCCACGTTCCTCGTCTTTTTCCTAATTATAGCAGCGATTATCTGCTCGAGGTTAATTTCAGTTGCCCTTCTGTCATGTTTTCAGTATCCTTTTACTGCACATTCCATGTTTGTCTTTGTCATAGCTGCTAGGTCTTCATAATTGTGACTGAGTGATGCTGCTCAGGACTGTCACGGCTGACCTGCCCCAGTCAATAGAAGACGAAATGTGGTTGCGTCAGCAGGTCTGAAAGAGGGGATATGAACTCACTGACAGGGACTGGAGGAAAGCCACGTAGATACTATATTCAGCCGCAGCAGCTGTTTGCTGATTTGTATCTGAGTTTATGAAGTCTGACTGTCAAATGAGTCTTTGCATGACGCACTTTTACATAAAAGAGCAGTAATCATTATGGTAATGAGGGTTTTCACTACACAGATGAAGAAAAGGCATGAATCCACAATTTCTCTCAAAAAGACGTTAGATGTTAGATATACTGTTACCGGAAAAAGTCACAATGTTGAATAATAAATAGAATGGGGAATACTGGGAATTTCACCCCTGTTTTTAAGTTCAAGTTTGTCGTTATCGTCTTTGACACAAGGGACAACGCTTGTGGGCTGAGCTGAGGCTTTAAAGAATACCCTGCTTTGGTGTCTATTTTACTCTAATGGAGATGATGATTTAGATCACCATTATGATGCACTAAAGAACAATTTAAAATGGCAATCAGACCATAAAGTCACCATAACAGTGGTTAACAAGGTCATAAACCAAGTGAGAATCATGGCTGTTTTCCCACAGGCTTTTAAACTACTCTATTCACTTCCTGCTGCCTATGAAAGAGCATCAAGGTTTAGGCTGCAGCCAATTCCAATATGCAATTCATATCCTTAGTGCAGTGCACTGCTAAGCTCATGCTACTTGAATGAGAAACTGCAATTTTTTTAGAATATAGTCCAAATGGGATATAATGCATGAACACATGTGAAAGAAACCACCAAATGCATGTTAAAGTAATGCATCTACACTCATATACCTGATTAGATTTCTTGCTTTTGCATATATTACTAACTGTTATGTTGCGATGGTGAAAATTTTGATGTCTTCATAACTTTTCTGCAGCAAAATTAACAGAAATCTACAGAGTATTTGCAGCAAGTAGTCTTCTAAAGCGAGGCCCCTTATTCCTTCAGGTCTTTCCCCTGCATCTTAATTAAGGTCGGCGTGGGAGGGAACTTCTATCAGACAACAAGATTACTGCCATTCTCCTGCTTTGTGGGAACTGGGCTATTGACCCACACATGAATGTCAGGGAGCACAAAGAAGCGAGAGACACACACACACAAAATCCAGAACTCCTTCGTCTTTTCCCTTTCTTCAACCCAGACTACAGAGAGACAAGGGGGCATTTATACCCCGATTCCCTATCCCCTCCAGACACTGCAACCAATGGGCTTTTTCATGACATCAGCCTGCTCACATCCTCCAGCCCACATCCAGAGCTATTGACTCAGTTTGGAAGAGAACAATCTGCTCCACTGAAAGACCGGCAGTCTCACTGAAAGCAGCTTTGTGCATCTGAAAAACGTGAAGCTTCTTAAAAGTGTTGACAGGATGTTTAAAGTCTGGGTTTTAGGAAAAATAACTGAAAGAGAAATATGATAAATTCACACCTATATATGACATAAAGTGGTGACTTCCTTTTAATATGTAAGAATAAATGAATTCATGTGTATCTTTTTCCAGATTAACGCATCAACACAATATGAAATTCAGAAAGCATACTGCATGTATTTATTGCAAGCCCCACTGTGGTTTTAATAAACTTTATAGGGCAGGTGGCTGAAAATCCCCCATTATTTCTTTCTGCTGGAGAACAACAGAAGCAAGCCTCTGCTACAAAAACTCATATTGCATTCATCTAATTTATTAGCACTTGCTTTGGTTTTTGAGCAGTGCATTATTTCAAGCTGCAGCTCCTGTGGGCTGGACATCAGATCTAGCTCATAGCAGCAGCCACTTTGTTAGAAGGTCGTCTTAAATTTCTGATCAGAATTAGACAAATCAAACACAAATGCTTCCATATTTGCCCACATGCAGGTCTGACTATACCTTTTTCAGTAACCTGTGTTATACTAGATTAAAGTAGATCGCTGTATTAGAACCAAGACCAAAGCTATCACCACGATTGTTTTATCTGAACCAGAGGTGCCGTTGAAATCTCAAGGAGACAGAGAATTTGTGGGCCAAAACCTATGGAATAAACCTCCTCAGGAAAGTTATAAACCTGATTATTTCTTGGTTTAAATGATTTCTAGCTTAAGTGTGAGACCCTGGTATTCGTTCGACTAGTTGATTTTTGTGATCTTTGCAAAGCAATTTACTGTAAAGCACTTTTTAAGACAAGCTTTAAACAGTGTTACACAATGATGGCAGTGTTCGTGAAGTGTTTTAAATTTACATGTGTGTGGATAATGTCATGGATAAAAACATAAAAAAGGGATTTGTGTGATTAAAAATCAAATTCACAGATGGCTTAAAACAGTACATCTTCAAGGACTTTTTATCACTCCACACGCTGCCAGTTTATTCCCAATGGACTCCGGTACCTCTGGTCTATGTTTACACTGCTGAAGTAGGCAAACACTTATTGTTCACTGCCATAGAAACAGAGAAGGAAGCCAAACGAAGTAACATCACTCCTACTGTACAGTAAAAAATTTCAAACGAGTTCTTAAACACCATCCCACATAAAAATATGACGGCCCAGAAAGGCCACCCAGCTCGTTGTGTAGTCACCCGTGACATGAGCAGGGAGGAGGGAGATGCCTAAATTAGGCCAAACGGTAAATATTTTAGGAAGTCTCATCAATTATTGACAAACGGCTTTACCTTGCTAAGCAGACTACATATCGAGTGTCTTTCCAGTCTCTTCGCTCAGTCCTCTGTTAAATCTATGAATGTGTGCTGCTCTTAAGCACATTTTTTTTAAAAGTGAAGGAAACTTACAGAGCAGGTTTCCTAGGAAAATTAATGTGGCTGGTTTTGGATTATAACAAAATTGTTCACTGCATATACTTGAACAGAAAGATTAATTATAAAATGGTGAAGAAGGAATAATTTTTAATCTGTATTCATAAATAGCAGGACTTGTCCAAAATAAATGAGAAGATTATGTCGCCTAACACGTGATGTTCAACTGATTTGCAAAGCTGGTGATGTGCTAAATCCTTCACTGCTTGCTCGGTTTAGCTGCTGAAAAGGTGGACCCTGTAGTAATTACATATTGTCTCAAACAAGTTCAGTTAGATCACATTTTGTCTGAGGCAGGAAAAAGGTTTGCTCCCACAGAAACTGAGTCTGAGTCTCTATAAAATGTTGCTAATTTGATGTGTCTTGAAATACGCCTTACATGTAGAGAGGAAATTAATGGTTCAGTAATCCAACCGCACAGAAAGGTTAAAGGTCGAGGTGAGCTACAGCTGGAAAACCTTGTGCTTAATGCCTCGTGGAAGAAGAAGCCTTCCCCAGGTTAAGCAAACATCTGTCAGACTTAATTACAGTTTTACTTCACTGTATAAGTCAGCCTTGAAGATAATAAAAAAACATGCACTTTTTTCAGTAAAACCACAGTTCTATGAAAAAATCCTAGTTAGAGTACTTACTAGTGGTGTTTCCAGACATCTGAATGATCAGTTTGCTATCTTTCTCAATCTCCCTAGAATTGAAGGGGCGGACCCGCACCGCCACCTTCACAGAGGCCCCTGCCATGGTGCTGTCTTCTTAGCACCTTGGGGTGCTTTCTGTAATGCCGGTCTGCAAGTCTGTTGAAAGGAGGAGAATATGAATTACAACTGAGTTGCTGCCAATACTAAACTAAAAACTAATGTGCAAACCACTCCCCAAGAAACCCAGAAACTGCAACTTAATCAACTTAAGCAGCATTTTAACAGCTAATTCAAAGTAATGGATAAGCAGTAGAAACAGGACGGCAAAAGGAATGCATATATAAGTTATAGTCATAAAGTCACTAAAGAGTAGAGAAGGAAGACTGAAACATAGAGTATAGTTAGTAGTATATTTTCTGCCATATTTCAAATTCAAATCCCTTCACGATGACATCATCAAGATCTAAGGGTAAAGAAGCTGACTGTTTACAGCTGTGGGCTCAAAGGGATTACTTGTACATACACCGATCAATTATCTGAAACTTTGTTCATGTTTAATACCACATAAAATGCAGTGATGAACTGTCAAATGGACAAAAAGCTTAACCACAGACAAAAAGTTAGGCCAGCTTACACGACTGATAAATGGGGAGCTGAAAGCTTAAAATTAGATAAAAAATGTCTAAAGGGTTAAAACAACTAAAAGTATTTTAACTACTTTTCAGCGGAGGGAGTGGGATCACTCAGTCATCAACGTTTATCCAGTATCCTAATAAGCCAGCATTCTTCTGATTGGCTGCCCCTCGCAAAAAGAGCATGTGAAAAGCAAATGGGTGGGGCCTCGATATGATAGATCAATCTAAAAAAAATCAAGCTTTCTGCTCACATGAATTTCTTGAATGCCTGATGACCTCATTATTTCAATTGTTGGTCATGTTTAATATCAACTATTATACAGTTTAGTAAAAGTACAGTTCCAATTTTAACATTGTGAAGAAGGGATACTTGAGTCCATTTCCCAGGCCTACAGAGGCATGTTATATGAAAAAGGTCGGGAACGACTGTCCTTATTACTAGATTTACTGATTTTATAAACATCCATCAGTTCATAAGTGATCGTCATGCCATAGCAGACTTTTCTAGCATGTGCTCTGTTTGCATAATATTACAAATGTTGTCTTATTTTTGCATTATTTTGTTAGAAATTGTAAAGTTGGAATATTGCATCTTGCGGTTGATGAGACTGGGACAATAGCGTAGGGCAGGGCTAAGTGGCTGTAACATGAAAAGACCATGCATGGTCAGCTACAGCCAGGGGAGTAATGGATAATAAAGCAAGCTGTAACAAAAGAAGTGCAGCAGCAGCTAAATGTCAGGCTGTTTCTCTGGATGACAATGGCACTGAAACCAGCCACAAATCCAGGGTCTGGCTCCATTCAGCAGCTCCATTTCACCAACGACTCGTTACGCAGTCACTCAAAAGGCAAAAAAATTACATTCAATAGATTTTAGTGGGTGGTGGGTGGATCAAGTACAAACATGACTCATCATCAAAATTTTTAATGTGGTTATCAATAAGCTTGACTATGATACAATTAGATTTCAGTGATGCTGCATCAGGTACAGCTATGAATATTAATAAGAGAGTCTGTCATTTCTTTTACTCAACTGATGCCTAAGATTTGGGATCACGTCAGATTTGGTACCAATACTCAGAGCGTGTTCGTGACTCAGATTGTCTTTCATCACTGAATGTAAATCTGCTGTGTCACCCCGATTCCTGGTACATCCTCTCCAGCTGGCACCTGAACAGATTCACTGGCAAGATGCATGCAGGGAACATAGTACAACAGCAAAACAGGTGTGAACTGACTGCAGGCTAAAAATCAGGATTAATAAATGAAAAGGAGCGAATGGTGTACAAGGTGTGCCATAAATCGGCTCTGGTTTGGTTATCTGAAATGGAAAATATTAATCATGTCACAGTGCAACTTGTGCATCTTGTGAAAATATATTTCCACTTCTTTTTTCGCCCTTTCCACATAACATCCATGGTCATAATCTGCTCACACACCAATCAGCTGATGATGGAGCTCAGCTGGGCGGCCACCATTTTCCCAGTGACAAAGACTAAAGTAATGCACATAATGTTTTTGACAAGACTTTAGGCAAATTTTCCTTATTGATTAGGTAACTGTGAATTTATTAAATGCTTTTAAAAAACAAACAACTTTGTTTTTCAGGATGGCAGCAGGTCCATAAAACGCAAGTCATGGACACTGTCGTTATTAAGCTTAAACTGACCATTTTGACTTGATAAAAACATCATTTATTGCGTCATTTCAGCAGCTTTTGGCGTTATGACACAACACTTTCGCGCACACGTCTACCTCACCTGTCCCCCAATGACAGTGCATTTATTGCTGCCGTCCTGCTCACACAAATAAAAGCCTCTTTATTAAAAATAGACGCAGTTAAACAACATGACAGCACATAGCTGGTGTCAGACAGCAGCTTTAATGCCTCTGTATCGCTCTAGGCTGCCTTTTTCCCGACAATGACAGCCTCTTCAATGGCCGCACCCTAAGCCCATCTCTCCCCAGGAGATTTAACACTAAGTAAATAAAGGCTGCTTCATTAAAACTGCATCAGCACTGTGACAATGGAAACACTGAAAAAAAGCCGCCCTACCTCGACAATGCCAATAACGTGAATTGGCTCTATTTCTCGTGCTCGTCTGTTTTATTGTCCAGCTCCGCGGACACCACCACCACCTCCGCTGCTCTCCTCCAGGTCTGGCACTGCCCCTGCTAACAGCTTCCCTTCTCCATGAAGGGCTGAGGAAGTCACCGCCTGCTGGTGCCTTGTACCTGTACCTCCTCTTCCTCCACCCGTGACTGCCAGTGGGGACTCAAGAAAAACGGAAAGGCAGCTTGGGATGTTCGGCCGAAGCGATCAAAACGGCTCTGTTGTCTCCCTGTCTTTGGCAAGGATGCTCGAGCTCCACTGAGCCAGTGACATCATCACCGAGGGAGGTAACAGCATCAATGCAGTAGTGGGAAGAGAGAGAGAGGGAGAGGCGGAGGCAGGGAGTGGGATTAGTATCCCGCTTATGACCTCTTATGAAAGCTGTAATAGAGAAAACCCTTTTATTAAAGGTAAAACTCGCGGATAGCGGGGGAATTAGTGTTTTTCTCGAGGGGTAAAGTCAGCCTGGATTACTTGGAGGATTGTTTTGGAAGCAGTGCATGTGAGGACACACAAACGGTGTTGTACTTGTAAGGTTTAGTAGGTCAGATCAGGGACATCAAGCCGAGAGGAGACAAGTGGCACAAAGCAGGTCGCCGCGCATGGAAACTGAGTGTTCACTGAAACATCCAATACAGCTTCTTAGAGTAGAGCCAGGCCTCGGGAACGGCAGAAAACAACAATATAAGGCCCAAATTTTTTATTTTTCTTGAGATGTGTTTATTTATGACAACGATTTTTGTTTCCGCATTGCAGTTTTAAAGTGTGTCGCTGTATTTTACTGGAGCAAATAATAAACGTTGATTGCTAAACAAACAATACGTGCAGTTTGTTTTTTGACCTTCCTTTTGAAAAGGAAGCAGCTAAATGCACATGCACCTATATGTATTCTTTTAAGACATGCAACCCACACTTTAGTTTCCACTTCTTGAAAAAAAGTAAAATATGTGAAAACTATCATTTCTGGACGATTTGTCATACCTTAATTCCACCCGTGTTCTGTGGATTAGAACATCTGAAACAGGAAAAGCACAGATTAAGACACGTTCTGACAACCATGACTCAGTTCCATGAAGTGAACTTAATGAGTCTCAGCTTTATAATTATATTAATTGCATTTTCACAAAATATAGAGATTTTGACTCATGGCAGTAAGAAGCACTGATGTCATATTATGTTTTTCACTGATCAATAAAATTTCAGTTAAATTTTCCTTGAGAGAGAGGACCATTTTTACAGGCAGAAAAACACTGTCTGCTTCAGAGAGATACTCAGATAAACACACAATTTCCATCAGATGGAATGAATGAAAATTCAAAAACTCATCATTCTAGCTCTATTTTTTCAAATTTACTGACTACATTAAGGAGTGACAGTATGCCTATTTGACAAATAAATACTCCATTTAATATACACAGCAGCATTTTTTTCTACAAGTGCCTTATTTATTACATTTGAAAGCATTTACGCCACACACCACACAGCTGGATCCTCTTAGTTAAGAGTTGTCAGGAAAGGGGGTCTGACAGCTGAAGCCTGTACCTCCCATTCTACTTTTAAATATCCACAAATAAGCCTGCAGTCTGAGCGTGAAGTGCTCTATTGGGATAATAACATAATATAAGGTTTAAGATAAGATGTGGCCTTATTATTCAACATTTTGCATGTGAGAAGAAGAATTTTAAATGCAGTTATAGTGACTGGATGTTTACAATTTAGCACTGTTGACAGAGAGCAGTTATTTTTGCTTAATGTGTACATTGAAGGACATATTGTGGTCAAAAATGACTCCAAGATTCCCCTCAGTGCTGCTGGAGGTATCTGCCCAGAAACCATATTTCTAAGAATTTTAGGACTGTCTACAATAACCTCAGTTTTCGTCTGAATTGGTACTAAAAGTGGTAAATAAGAGGCCCCTGAGTCCATAAGAATGCCTTTAATAACCTTTACTAGTGCTCTTATGACGAATTTGAATCTTCTTCATATAATTTATTTTCATCGACCACTAATAATAAAGAATAATTAAGTAATTTCACTGAGAAACTAAATCATATCGACTAAAGCAGAACTATTTAATCAGAAACAGAGAAAAAAGAGCAGATAAAGTACCTGGAGAGAGATGTTTTGTGGATATACTTAAGCATCAGGTTGATAACAGAGATGAGAGAAGAAGAAGAAGCTTCTTTCAGCTGCTCCTTTATTCACACGGCGTCACCACAGCAGGTAACTTTGCATGTTTGAGTCAACACAGCCTTGAAAGAGACTTGTGCCTCCTCCTGGGATCAAACCGGGGAGCTTTTATTTGTTAGGGGAATGTGTAGACATCCTACATCACTGGCAAAAAAGATGACAGGATCCTGCTACTGGACAATGAAGATTTAGTGCCTGTAAAGCTCGATGCTAACAGATCAATAAATTTTATTTTCACTGACAGCCAGTGTAAAAAATCTTATGTGTATATTTTAAAAAATGAATTTTATAATTTGGCATCTGAGGAGCAGCTTTCTGAACAAATTCTTTTTTTTCTTCCTGAAAATAATTTGCAGCAATTTGCAAAAAGGTTTAGGCAGTAAAAGGCAGTCAACAGGAACTCTTTGTCTGGTGGAAGGATACTTTAACTGCTCAGGTTTCAGCCTCAGTGAAACACAATGCAATTTTGTGACCTTGCTCTTTGCGCAGTCCTACCAGTCCTACTGCTCTCTCTCACACACATTTAAACGATGTGTAAAATCCCTCTTGGGCTCTCTCTGTCTCATCCACTTCTCTCTCATGCAAATGTTTTATTTAATTCATCAGCATTAAGATTTCACGGTCTAATCTCCTCGCAGAACGAACATGCTTCAAACGGCACACAGAAAACGTAAGTGGTGTGAATCACAGACGTGAATAAAACAGGATGATGTCACTCCCATGAATGACCACATGCAAAACTCAGCAGACACTCCCTGCTGTGTGTACGTTTAGTTTTTTTTAAAGTGGGATGTTTTTATGATTACTTTGGCACACTAGTGTCCACTAGAGGAAAACACAGGAGTCGTGTATTGTGTCCCGATTCACGATTGAGGTGTGAGACAAAGGACCACTGGTCCAAGTGAGTCCAAACAATGATTTTATTACAATGTTTTCAAAAAATGCCACTACTCAAAGCTGAATAAAGATGATATATAAGAATAAAAATGATATAATTCCCACAATTGTTTCTGCCCAGCCTTCCAGCTCTGTTCTGCCATGTCTAAACTCAGTGGCACAGGAGCCTGAATAATTTATTGGTAGAGTGAGCTGTTGCCTCAAACCTTGTGTGACAGACATGCTTTCTTAAAGAGATGCTCTTGGTGTGTACCTATCAGACCGTGTGGAGAAAAACTCCCACCCTCATCACACTTGGAAACAATAATATCATGGCTTGAATATTAAATTTAGAGATGAATTTGAGATCATGTAAAAGGAGGTCATGGTCAGCAAAAACAAAGTGGATGGGTAATGACACATTACTTTTATCCTTCATGCTTCATTATGATCTGATTGTTTGTATTGATGTTCATATTTTCATAGGCAAGCTTTTCCTTAAACATTTGCCTTTTCTTTGGCTGTCAGTCACTCAACAACAATCTACTGCTAATAAAGGCAGCTACAAGTGCCTTTTACTACAAGGAGTACACTGAGATTTGACAGGTATTTATATACCACCAGTTCACAACCACAGTTGTCTTTACTGTAAGGATAGTCCCAGGATAGGTCACAGGATAGTCCCCCACGGGCAGCACCTGGCAACACTGGGAAGGAAAAATGCCCTTTTAACAGGACGAGACCTGCAGCAGAACCAGGCTCAAGGAGAGGCAGTGACTGGTTTGGAGGGTGAGAGGAAACCAAAGAGAGAAAAACAAAAGGAGAAATTAGAGACCATGAACAACAAACAGGACATTATACAAACTCTGGGCAGTGAGAAAAGGCAGTGGCATATAAAAAGGAAGAAATGAACAGGGCATAATTGGAACCTCAGCAGCCTGAGCCTATAGCAGCTTACTTAACTTCTTTGGTCTGCTGCCTACTGCACAATTGTATTTTTATAGTTTCACGTTTTAAGCTTTTCCTACCCTCACTTATGGCCGTTCATACTAAACAAAGTAATTAAGAAATAAACAATTATAAATACACAGTTTCTGTTTCTCGCTTTCTACAATCGAAATTTCTGTTTTGTTTTGGGATGTTTTCTTTGTTTTTACGAGTAGAGTTTAAAAACAACAAAGAAAGAAAGAAAGAAAAAAACTGGACAGTCTGAGCTACCAGAACTTTTTCTGTAAGTTAACACGTTTATTTCTTACAATGTAGCCCAAAGAGTTGTGCTGACAGATTTCTTTCTTTGTCACAGCAGCGTTTTCTTTGTCCTGTGAAAAAACAGTCAAACATGTAACTTCTTTATACTGACTGACTGGTGCGGCCCACTTAAGGTCATATTGGGCTGTGTTCAGCCCGCAATGTAAAATAAGTTTGACACACCACAGCTAAAGTGTAGCTTTTAAATATTGTCACATGCTATGGTGTAACTAAGAAATGACCCAACAACAAGAACTGACCTGACCTGACAAGAACTAACCTGATTAAAACTCATTTCAATATTAATAATAAAACATATTTGATTAAAAACACACAATCGTGTTTACCCTAATCCTACCAATACTTCTAAAATCGAGAACTGCAAAATATTTTTTTAAAAAGAAGGTGGGGTTGTAGTACTTCTATAAGTCAGTGCAAAGGTTGTTTTTTTCAACCCCTGTAATGTGATGCCTGAACAGTGCTGGCTTTAAGTTGTGTATCAACACAAACAGACATCCATACGATGATCGGTGGTGATGGTTGGCGCCGCTTTGGAAACAGCAACTGTTGGTTTGAAAGGCTGCAGTGCCTCCTTGTGGCGGGATTCTTACACTACACTGCAAGATATCGAGCAGTGTCAGCTGTATGCTAGCAGGTGATAAATGAAATTTTCTGGGGTCACAACGAAGAGCTTACTGCCTTTCTTGCTCAGTCTACAAAATGTGGTACTTAATGGATTGAAAAGAAAAAGATGACACCCTTTAGTTCACACCAGTAGTGATGATTCAGGGTTTTAATTTTGAGCCGGAAAGTATGTTATTAGCCAAAGCTAATAGTTTCTTCTATCTAGCTAGCTATCTAGCTATCTATGCCATTTGGCACGAGCAAGTGTATTTATTACATGGTGGAAATCACTCGAGGCAGATTGTCTCAGACAAGTCATTTAACCTTTGTCCTGTACTTTTATTAACCAGCAAAATTCCAGA